TGCGCAGCATGATTTGGTACTTGTGCGTATGCATGAAGCACGATTTAGCGCTTCTGCGCATGCGGTGAAACCCAGAAGTAACCCTTTCCGGTACTTATGGGTCGCCTGAAAGAACGTAGCATGAAGCAAATGTAACATAAGGTATGACTGTACAGTTTAAAACTGCAATTTCTAAGCAGTGTGCAATAGGAATATAGGAGGGATACAAAAGGGACGCAGCATAAAATCGGTTAAAATTAACCGTAAAATAGAAGGGATGGACACTTCGTCGTCACCAGGCACCAGAAGTTCAGCAGGGGCAGGGCCTGCCTGATCTCAGCCAGGAAGGGCTCTAGCTCAGTGGCAGGGCGTCTGATTTGCACTCAGAAGGTCCCAGGTTCAGTGCCTGAGCATCTCCAGGCAGGTCAGGGAGAGAAACCCCCGCTCCTGAAACCCTGCAGTCACTCAGCATAGACAACACTGAGCTAAACGGACCAGTGGTCCTGACTCTGTGTAAGGCACCTTTCTGTGTTCCAGCATCTGAAAACAGGGTCTGAATACCTCCTCCACCTCAGCTCAGCTAGTCTTATATTGAAAAAAGACGTGTGTGCCCAAGTGTGGATCTATGTGTCTGTGCTTGCCGTGTGTGTGTGTGTGTGTGGTGTGTAAAAAGAAAAAGAGTTGAGGGTAAGTGAGCTCGTTCAGAAGAAAAGGGCCAGGATTTATTTTCAGGAGACGGCAACAATACAGTGGTACCTCGGGTTAAAGTACTTAATTCGTTCCGGAGGTCCGTACTTAACCTGAAACTGTTCTTAACCTGAAACACCACTTTAGCTAATGGGGCCTCCTGCTGCCGCTGCGCCCCCGGAGCACGATTTCTGTTCTTACCTGAAGCAAAGTTCTTAACCTGAGGTACTATTTCTGGGTTAGCGGAGTCTGTAACCTGAAGCGTATGTAACCTGAGGTACCACTGTAGCTGGCTTTCAGAAGCATGCTGCCCGCCAATTTTAAATCCTGTAGTTTTAAGTACATAATCTTAAGGAAGCTTCTAGCATGGTGTGGGGTTGGAGTGTCTGACTAGGTCCTGAGAGACCGGGGTTCAAATCCCCAGTCGGCCACGTAACTCACTGGGTGACCTTGGGCCAGTCTCAATCCACCTCACAGGGTTGTTGTGGATTTAAATGAGGAGGGAGGGGACCATGTGTGCCGATTTTCTGCTGCTTGGAGGAAAAGGTGGAATATAACTGCAATCAACAAATAAATGTGTTCCTTTGTGTGACCCAAGTGACCTTAACTATGGGACGCTGTAATCCCAGGATGTAAAACTCCTCTAAAAAATAAACAGAAATGGCTGCATTAAACACAATGGGATCGGGGCAGCAAGGCCGTAAACTGAGCAGCTACTTGGATGTAAATCCTATTATAATAAGTGGCAGCTGCTTTCAAATAAACTCCTTGCAAAAAGAAGGCTTCTTGGCGCAACTGCAGGACACGAGCGTTCTGAAAGGCACCGGTTGTGATTGGCCGTGTTCATAAAAGGGGGCGGAGCACGCTCAGGAGCCTCCTCCCTCCCTGCTCTCCTGTGTTGGTAAACGTTCTCCCTCAGACCCACGTGGCTTTGCGAGAGGCGACCGCATGGCTCTCGCGTCCCGCGGCTTCCTGGGAGCTGTAGTTCCTCTCCCCTCCCCCTTTCCTATAAGCTCCGTCCCAACTCGTTCACATCGTGACTACATTTCCCATGCATAGCCGCGCTGGATGGGGAGTCCGACCTCTCCCGCTAAACGCCGCCGCGCGAAGCATTCTGGGGCTTGTGGTTCGAGCGCGGAGCGGGAACCTTTCCCGCTTTTTTTTTTTTAATCCTCCCTTTCCCTGCCCCGCCTCTCTCCTCCGAATGGGAGCAAGCTCACCTCTCCACCCGCGCCGCCACACTAAAGAGGACTACGTTTCCCGGCAGGCCTCCCTTTCCCTCCCTCCCTCCCCCCTTCGCCTCACGGCGCGCGCCCTTCCCTCCCCCGCCCCCGCCTTCACTTTTGGCGGAGACATTTCCGAAGCGAGTCTCTCCAAGATGGCGGCATGGGGAAGGAGGCGCACGGGCCCCGGCAGCTCCAGCGGCGCCGGCGCGAGGGAGAGGTGAGCGGCGGAGGCCCGGCTAGCTGCCCGGCGGCCTCCTCCCCGCCCCGGCTCCCGGCCTTCACGCCCTGGGCCTAGGGGAGCCGAGGGCTGCTTCTCCCCTCACGCCCCCTTAGGCCCCTCAGCTTCTTTGGAGGCCTCCTCTTGGCCTTGCAGGGGACGAAGCGGGGGCCAGGCCTCGAGACTCGCCAACGGCGGCGAAGGCAGCTTCCGGGGCGCCTCTGTGGGACGGGAGAGCCGGGAAGGAGGGTGCGGGTTGGCCTTTGGGATAAGGGAGGGGATGGCCGGCTGGGAAGGAAGAGTGCTGCTAAAGGATTGCCCGAAGAAGCGAGGGTGCCGAGGTCATTGGGTTTAGGAGGCAGGAGGGGTGGCAGAGGCGAGGGAGGGGAAACGAGGCTTCGGCCTGTGCGGCACAAGGCCTTGGCATAAGTAGGGCGAGGGGGCCATCCTCGGGAGAAGCCAGGTTCAGGAGGAGTTGGGGGCTGCAAGAGTTCGTCCTTGGGGGAAAGGGGAGGGGAAGAATGGGGGGCGCAGGGAGTGGGGCGAGAGGGTGGGCACGGGATGGATTAGGGGTTGCAGGGCTCCTGGAGGAGGTGCTGCCGAAAGAGAGGTCAAACGAGTGTGTGTGTGTGTGTGTGATATGGGGGGGGGGCGCTGGAGGCATCAACGTGTGAAGCTTCTGTGAGCGAGGAGGAATCCAGATGCCTCACAAGGTCTGGGTTCGGGGTGGGGGAAAGGTCGTGGCTCCATCAGGCTGTGGGAAAAGTAGGCATCCCCTCTCCGCAGCTTGGAGAGGGAGGGGCAGCAGGCCTGTGGCAAGAGAAGGTCAGTACACAAAGTCCCTTAACTTAACTCCGGGCGTGTTTCACCCATCCCAGATGTTAGACCCGGAGGTGACAAGAGTAGCTTCTGCTTAGACTAAGAACATTCTTCGATGCTCTTAAAATCTATTTTTGAAGGCCGCAAATGCTCCCCCAAAGTCCTCTGAGAGTGACCTCTTGGTGCACAGCTGTTCCTGTTGGTTGAGTGATTTATGTTTTTAGGTGTTGCATTGTTATGGATTCGGAAGGTTAGGGAGCTGGTGGGGTGGAATTAAGCTGGTGGCTCCTGGCTGTGGCAGTTTCACCCCCTTTGGCCATCAGCTCTCACTTTACTTCTATGTAGATAATAGTAGGAGGTGAAACAAAGAATATTTACATAGTTTTCTTGTGGGATTTCTCCCATTGCTCAAATTAACCCCAAAAGTTTTAACATATTGTATTTTTAGTTTTGAAGTTCATTCTTTCATTGTAAATTGTCTCACTTTTAAGGGTAAGCTTCTAAAAGATCGGTATTTGCAACTCTCAGTTGAAACTATTGCTGTGTAACTCCTAATTATAATTTTGCATCCCGGTTTCAATGGTTTCAGCAAACTTCCCTAACTTCAGTTGTTGCTTGTTGCATTCTCTCCCATGAAGGCAGACTACAGCGGAGAAAGGCATGATTCTTCTGAAGTATCAATGAAAAGATAAATACTTTCAGCTTTATGTTAAAATGGTTGAAGCCAATAAGGAATAGATGAAATGAGCTGTTCCATTGAAAAAGAGTTTAAGACTTCCAAGTCAACGTAATAAGAAAGTTATCAATATTGAGCGGAGTGTTTGTGAATATGCTAGAGCAGTTAGAACCTGGACCAATCATGTTTAAGGCAGTTAGAGGCAACTGGGGTAAAGAAATGCTCTGTGTTGCATTTGAAGTCTGCAGAAGTGTTTTTCTGAGAGTCTGTTGCTTGGGAAGCTGATGTAGTCCAAAACATCTGGAAGGAATCAAGTTGGGGAATGCTGACTTAAACAATGGTTATTGGCTGCAAACAAGTGTGTGAAACTATGGTTTGAATAGCAAATCTTGGGATTGCGCTAACCAAGGTTAAGTTTTAATCTGCAGTGACAAACTGGTAAAAGCAGGTTCTTTGTGCCTTTGCTTGGAGGATTAAAAGCTGGGCTTATTGGCACCTATACCTGCTCTCCAGAGACTGGGTTTAGCCCAACCAACATCATTGTATGACTGAGTTCTCGATCAGAGTGAAGTCAACAAATCCCAGTGGGAACTAACCATAGCTAAGTGTTATGTCTGCCATAGGTAATTGGAAAACAGTGTATGCTAGTTGGTAATGTGGCTCATAACAGGAATTAAGTAATATTCCTGTTTTTGTAAACAAGTAGATCATACCCAGAGTAGACCCATTTAAAAATGGTCATAACTAAATATTACTTACTTTGATGCAACCCATGGTAGGGATGATGGGTGTAGTTTTAACCTCTGTTTACATGCAGCTGACTCAAATGTTCCAGTTCTTTGTTTCTGGCTGAAATGATTATTAACTCCCTTGTATTATGGCTTCTACCCTTCTCTCAATTGAGAAGCTGGAAATGTATATGTCTGTTTTCTGCCCATCTTTTTTCAGTGTCCCCTTCTGAGTAACATCTGTGTGACTTTGGCTGCCAGGAATGTGTTTTGGACGCAGAACAGATCTAGTGTCATCAAGTAACCACAGAATTCGTGCAGCTTTCATGGTAGATGTATTTCCCTTCATTTGTCAGTAGGTTATACCTGCTTCCTGCTTCTTGGATTTCCCATCAATGAGCTTTTTAAAAAAATGCTTTCAGGCTATTTTGATGCTAGGCAGTTAGCTTAAAAGGGAGTCTTGTTGACATGAGAGGGTTAATGATGGGTGAATAACTAATGAATAAAATATTGTCTGGCATGATGGAATATGGTCAAATTTAATAATATAGCAGATACCTCAAACCAGTCAGAGGCATCTCTTTGAGTTAGAATTCCAGTAAATTGTCTGTTCAGATGCTGCTCTTTGACAGGCTGCCTCTTATATTGATGATGTTTGAAAATACTAATGAAGGCATGGGGCCTACTTTTTAGCTACATCACGCTGTCAGCTTCTTAGGGCTTCTCCCCTTCCCAGCTTTACAGGGGTAGTAGAGCACTTACTGCGCATGCAGAAGATCCCAGAATCAATACCCAGCATCTCCAGGTACGAGTTGGGGAAGACTCTTGTCTGTAATCCTGGGGAGATGCTGCCAGTTAGACAGTACTGAACTAGATTGATAAACAGTCTGACTTTGTATAAAACAGATTGCTCATTAGGGGCAGGTAACCACTGACAACTTCAACCAGCTGCTGTTTCTCCATCTCATCCCTCACCCTCATCATGATCTGGGGATAATAGACTACATCAGTTAGAGTAGTAATGGTTTATTTAGATCAGGCATTGGTCCACATTCCCTCAATGGGCACCTTTCCAGGGAATCACATGCCACAGGAAGAGGCAAAAGTCGGCTGAGGATGGATGGAACTTTCTCCATTGTATAGCAGGCTTCATTCCAGTCAGGTTTCTACATACACTTCCCTCTCCATTCAGGGAAGCAAGGGCATTAGCACAGTTCAAGGGCGCATTCCAGCCAAGCAGGAGCATTCAAGAAAGTGCTGAGCAAGGCTAGGGAGGGGACGCAGCCTGGAAGAACCAATACAGGGGCCTGAGGTTCCCCACCTTTGGATTACGTAGTGCCATCGGCATATCTGGTACAGTATTCAGCCAAAATATGTAAGTGCATTTGGGACAGATACCTACAGTCAAAGAGGAAGGAGGGAGGAATGTTGGCAAATGCAGCTAAATGTCTTAAAACCTTTGTTATAGTTGGGAATGAGGATTAAGGGAGTAATCCAAATACTCTGCTGAAGATATGGGTTTTGCAGAGGAGAGTGGAGGCACCAACATACGTTTGGGTGGGAATTCCATGCCAAGGATGTAGTAAAGAAAAATGACCAGTCTTGGAAGGACTTGGAATGTTGAAAAGTGCTTATAAGCATTTATTTTTAAGCTTGTGTACTAATAGTGAGCTTAATTCTCCGAGCAATGATCCTTATGAAACCAAAATGGGCATCATTCACACACAAGATGGAGGTATTGGCAGCCTTTTATTAGAATTACACAATGCAACTTCCTCCAAAGGAGCATATGGCAGCAAACTTATCAATACTAAATGCAAATAAAACTTGTAGAAACAGTTTGGAACAACCTTCTAAAAACCAGTTTAAAATGCCCAAAAGCAATTGCCTGCTCTCAAACTAATAATGTCAGGATTGCAGGGACATGACTTTCAGTCATCAAAGGCCTGACTAAATAATGTTTTTGAAATTTCTCTTTAAAATTAATAGTGAGGGAGACAGATGTGCCTCATTAGGGGGGCATTCCACAAACATGGGACACGCCACCGGCCAGGCACCTCCAAGTGGCTGCAACAACAGCAGGTTCACCCCTGGTGATTGTACAGACTTTGCCACTGTTCAAATTCACCAGGCGCATTATGCGGGGTCCAATTGCAACCACGTGGAGATCTTTGGCTATTGGCGACTGACATCTCTATCTGGCTGGCCCCTCCAGCTTTCTTAAGCAGGTGAGCAGAAGAGCTTGCTTATTGCATTTATCTCCCCACTTTTTTCTGAAAGGAGTACATGGTTTACCCCTCTTCTCAGCTAATCCCTACAACCACCCCATGAGGTAGGTTAGGAGGCTGTGACTGGCCCAAGGTCACTCAGGGAGCATCATGACCGAGTGGGGATTTGAACCCTGATCTCCTAAGGTTCTACGTCCGACACTCTAACCACTGCACCACACTGGCTTCCTAAAGTACTTCTGCTCTAAGGCAGCTCTACAAATTACATAGGTAAATATGGCGAAAGCCAAATTCTTTTAAGAGAAGGATCTGGAATATTTTCCTTGAAGCTTGAATTTGTTATGTTCTGGATTGTTTATTTTGATGTTTTAATGGTGTTGTAAACTGCTTTGACTTTTTTTTCTTTAAAATATAAAAGTGGTATAGAAATGAAATTAATAACAATAATTAATCCCATTGCAAAAAAAAGGGCACCTAGACACTCCATTGTGAGACTGTAACCTAGGTTTAAGGTGCTATTTGGCAATGAGTTTCTAACGCTGGGCCTGAGATGGCTGATACTGTTTTAAAAAAACCGTAAAGACAGAGTGGGGAGTCCTGCAAGGTGGGTCCCGTGAGGGCTGGACATGTGCAGTGGCCATAGAGCACTGATTAATATTGGAGGGGTGGAGGTGAAAACTGGGGTGGGAAGAATAGGGTGGAGGAATACTCCACTGCAGCATTTTGGTTGCAACCTCCACTTGTTCCGTCTGTTTCAGATATTCAGGCAGTGAGAGTGCCGTCGCATATATAGCCAGAGCGGTACCATCCACAAGGCAGAGGGAGGTGTCAGCAGGCTCGGAGGAACCTTGAGGTTTGCAGAAGTACAATAAACATTTAGAGAAACTAGCAATTTACTGTGATTATATGATCCTGTGATTGTTTTCCTGTGTGAAACACTAGGCGCACATTCAGCTGTGCGAGTCTTCAAGTTGAGCAAACACAGTGGACAACCTACTTTTATTCAGCTCTGAAGTTTTGGCTTTTTCCATTCTGAGTGAAAATCTGCTGGGCCACTTCACATGCGTTGCTGTCCTTTCTTTTGTTTCACGCGCCCCTTTTCAACGCTCTCTTGAGCATGGCTTTGCATCAGGGGGCTGATATTAATGGTAATACCTAGACTACACTACTAGGCGTTCTGGGGTGGGCATCCCTCTCCATTCAGCTCTGATCTCCAGTTACTGCCCTGTTGTTGCAGCTCTGAGGTTTCCCCAGCAATCTTGTCAAACCATGTACAGCCTTGGTGATACTGAATTCTTTAACCATGGTTAGCATTGAAAGAGTTTGATACACATAACACATGCTTGTCTTCGGCTGTGCCAGAAAGTGCTGACCCTAGCGATTAGACTTGGGACAAAGTGATCCAAGACCCCTACGGTGTGCGGCTCTTGGAATTTAATGGCATTTGAAAGCTCATGCAATTATTCGGATGGACCCTTCTATACTTGACACACCATGTGACGTAAACTTTGCCAGTCGGCAGTGCAAGAATTCCTCTCCTTCCAAGAACCACTTCTTTGTCCTAGTTTGTTCCTGATTTAAATAACATTTTATTTCATTTCTTAATAACTGACACTGAGAGAATTTGATATAAAAAATTGTCCAAAAGGCATTCAGAAATGCTTGCACTCTACAATGTTTATGGTAGTACTTTGGTTTTGGTATTCCCTTCCAAGGCATCTCTTGAACCTAGGTTTCTATCATTTAGGTGCTGGGTTAAAACTGTATTTTTACTTTGGCTTTTAATTGAATTATGACCTGCCTTTTTTAACAGGCTGCTGGTTTTCATTGGCACAACTTTTATTATTTTTATGACCTGTGTTTCAACTTTATGTCGTAAGCTGCTTTGAGCATATTTGATGGAAAGGTGAGATAGAATGTGAATTGTCAACTGATTGTTTAGTTGGTCTGCTGTGCAAATCACCAGTTGATTATTAAATGGGGATGTTACAGGTACCTCATATATGTGCCTTTTGTGACACAGAAGGTGTAAAAGTGTAAAGCTGCAAAGCAATAGTTTAAAAACTGCTGCTCATGGTTAGGACGGAAGGTCATCTTAGTATTTCCGTTCATTGCCTATTACAGGAAGGCACAAAAGTGACATCAGAGAACAAACATGTGCCTTTAGCTTGCATTGCAGTGGATTAAAATTTGCCCCCCACCAATTAACTAAAGGATTAGTTGAGTGATCAACCAATTACAGCTTGCAGCAGTACTATGTATGCGTGTGAATGTGAGGTTTTCAAATTCCTATGCAGCTGAATGCAGGAATTTCTCCCGCTGTGGCTGTGTATACACTAAAGCTTGCAGTCTTGAAACATACATTTTTGCTATTGCTAGATCCTCCCTCTCCTGCCCCTGCCCCCACCCCCTGCTGGGCTGTCTCAAATGTATGAAGAGGCAGTAAAGCTAACTCCCAAAGCCCGAAATCCCGTCCCAGCTGTAGGTTTATTTGTGCTGTACTTTATATGCAGGGTTCAGACTTAATCTTGGGGTTCTTGGGTGACAAGTGTACAGACTTTCATCTTCAATGTATTGAAGCCCATGGGTTGCCGCAACTGGTGAATGCAGTGTTGTTGTTTTAAAAGGAATTCCTAATGAGGCTGTCACATGACGGATAGCCTCTATGGATTTCTCTACAGATTGAGAGAGAGAACTGGGTGTGCTGAGCTTTTTTGCAACAGTGCTAAAATTTGCACCCCCTCCCAGTGTCATTGGTGGGAACGTTATTCCAAGCAGACGCTAAACAAACTCCACACCACACAAAGCTTCCCTTTGTTTTGGATGAGAGGGTCTAGAAAAAGAATGTGTAGAGTACACAGCTGCTCCAAAGCTTTGTTCCATCCCATTTTGAACAAAGGTGTCCTTTGGCTATGTGGTCTGGAAAAAGCTTTCCCCTGCCGTGGTGGCTTTAAAATGGGCTAAGTTGATCTGCGTCTCAAGCACAATACTAGCAGGGTGCTTCAATCCCTGCTTGTTATAGAAAGAGGAGAGTACATTTTAAAGTCCCTCTTCAAGAGATTGCTATTTACTGGCTTTTTGTTCAGAATAAATCCAGTCATATTCTTGGTCTTCAAAACTGAGGTACCTTTTAAAAGAGTCTACCCCCGTCCAAGTCAAGTAAACAAGATTGCTCCTTGAATCTTGTTTTGCATGGTGTACCTCACCGCAGCATCAAAAGTTTTAAAATTTCAAAGCAGCTTGAAATGTTTTGTCCAAATTCACTGATAGCCATTTTGCAGTGGGGTTTTCTTGGCTTCCCAGGAGGGAATGTGGAAACTATTTCAATAGCACACCCCCCCCCGCCACACACAAGTGTGTATTGATCTGCTGATGTTCTCAGACATGCTTTCAGTCGCATCCAATACCTTAATCCTTGCTCATAGTCTGCTAATGAATACAGCAGTGTGTCCTGTTCTGGTTGATGACTTCTTAACATTGCCTCTCTTGCTGCTTGTGTTTCTGGAGTTCTGTTTTTACACTTGCTTTGGACCTTGCATATTGTGATTGGGAACTGGTTTTGCGAATACAGTGGTACCCCGCAAGACGAACGCCTCGCAAGACGGAAAATCCGCTAGACGAAAGGGTTTTCCGTTTTGGAGGCGCTTCGCAAAACGAATTTCCCTATGGGCTTGCTTCGCAAGACGACAGCCCATAGGGAAATCTCCGGGACAGCTGGGAAGCGCAGCGCGTCTTCCCCGCTGTCCTCGGACCTCCTCCCGCCGCCAGGCTTCGGAAGGCTGCTCCGAAGCCTGGCAGGGGGGCGGAGAGGTTTTTAAAAAACCCCGATTTTAAAACGCTGCCGTCCCGGGGGAGCAAAGTCTTTCGCCCCCCGCCCGCCTTCAGAAGAGGTCCTGGACTTTGCTCCCGCCTGCCTGCCTTCCCGGGAGAGCGGAGAACGCAGCGCTTCTCCGCTCTCCCCGGCGGCTTTTGAAGGCAGGCGGGGGGGGCAAAGACTTTCGCCCCCCGCCCGCCTTCAGAAAAGGTCCAGAACCTCTTCTGAAGGCGGGCGGGGGGCAAAAGTCTTTGTCCCCCCTGCCTGCCTTCCCAGGGGGGCGAAAGTCTTTGCTCCCCCCCCCCCACGGCAGCATTTTAAAATCGCCCCAGACAGCGGAGGACTTCTCCGCTGTCCGGGGCGATTTAAAAGCCCCTGGGAAGGCAGACAGGGGGGACAAAGACTTTTGCCCCCCGCCAGCCTTCAGAAGAGGTCCAGGACCTCTTCTGAAGGCTGGCGGGGGGCGAAAATCTTTGTCCCGCCTGCCTGCCTGCCTGCCTGCCTGCCTGCCTGCCTGCCTGCCTGCCTTTAAAAGCCCTCCCGGGAGAGCGGAGAAACGCGCTGCGTTTCTCCGCTCTCCCGGGAAGGCAGCCAGGGGGGACAAAGATTTTTGCCCCCCGCCAGCCTTCAGAAGAGGTCCAGGACCTCTTCTGAAGGCTGCGGGGGGCAAAAATCTTTGTCCCCCCTGCCTGCCTGCCTTTAAAAGCCCTCCCGGGGCTGCGTTTCTCCGCTCTCCCGGGAAGACAGCCAGGGGGGACAAAGATTTTTGCCCCCGCCAGCCTTCAGAAGAGGTCCAGGACCTCTTCTGAAGGCTGGCGGGGGGCAAAAGTCTTTGTCCCCCCTGCCTGCCTTCCCAGGGGCTTTTAAATCGCCCCGGACAGCGGAGAAGTCCTCCGCTGTCTGGGGCGATTTTAAAATGCTGCCGTGGGGGGGCGAGCAAAGACTTTCGCCCCCCCCCCAGCCTTCAGAAGAGGTGGGGGACAGATTGTCCCCGGACCTGGTCTGAAGTCGGTTTCCATAGGAACGCATTAATTGATTTTCAATGCATTCCTATGGGAAACCGTGCATCGCAAGACGAAAAACTCGCAAGAAGAAAAAACTTGCGGAACGAATTAATTTCGTCTTGCGAGGCACCACTGTACACATTAGGAAGGCCATCAAGGTGTATCAATTGTGGCTGTTCCTTTGAAACACGTGGGAGCAACAACAGGGAAATGACTAGATCTCCTTGCCATGTATCTTGAAGGGGGAGGAGTCGTAGCCTTGTACATCTGGGGCAGAACAATCTAACCATAGGAGGCCAGTGTCATTTATGCAAGGGTAAATTATGCTGGTGTAACTGACCCCTATTGCAAACTGTTCAGGGGTGGGGCTGAGCCTAGCAGTGGGAAAGGAAGAATTTAGAAATGGAGTTTGACTTAAACCACTGTTTTCATCAGTGTAATTTGTGCTGGGTTGCTAGGTAATGTGACCAAGCTGAACAGAGTCAGGAATAGAGGTAAATCTGCCCGAATGCTCCTGTTTTGAGACTAGTTCCAGCTGAGCTGGGTTGGAGGACGGACTGGTGTATCTCTGACTGAGCTGGAATGAGGGGCTTTACCTAGCTGAGCCCTAACTCAACTGGAGATCTCCTGACAGATCAGATCTTGGGTTTGGATTGCTCCCGAAGTGTATATTGATGTGAGGAATCACTTCCCTAATGCAAAATATATGTATGTTCAAGTCATTAAAGGTACCCCTGCCCGTACGGGCCAGTCTTGACAGACTCTAGGGTTGTGCGCCCATCTCACTCAAAAGGCCGGGGGCCAGCGCTGTCCGGAGACACTTCCGGGTCACGTGGCCAGCGTGACAAAGCTGCATCTGGCGAGCCAGAGCCGCACACGGAACGCCGTTTACCTTCCTGCTAGTAAGCGGTCCCTATTTATCTACTTGCACCCGGGGGTGCTTTCGAACTGCTAGGTTGGCAGGCGCTGGGACCGAACAACGGGAGCGCACCCCGCTGCAGGGATTCGAACCGCCGACCTTTCGATCGGCAAGCCCTAGGCGCTGAGGCTTTTACCCACAGCGCCACCCGCGTCCCCAAGTCATTACACTAGTTCAATTCAACAGGACCTGCAGGAGAGCTGGCAGTGGCCACCCACCCACCCACAGTGAGACAAGTAGAATAAAACAGCAAAACATTCATAGTAGAACACTGAAAAGGGAGCAGGGAATGTGGTGCAATATGGCATTGGTAGCACTGTTCTGTGTGTTGGGAGTGAACCAAAGAGGATCTCCCCTTCATTTATTTGTCTTCCTCTAGTCACAGACCCGTGAAGGATCCATAAGCAAAACTGCAAAGTACTGCTGGTTCAGAAAATGTTCTGAATTTCTAAACTTGAAAGAGGTAGGATCTGTTTCCCCTCCCAGGCCCATTAATTTCTAGTGTGAGTGTGGATTGGTTAATTTCCAAGCTCCATGTAGCTAAATGGTCCCACTCTCCAGGTTGTTTTGGAAACCTTCTTCAGGAAAGCTTTTTGCCTTCAGAAACTGGCCTCTGAAAAAGTAGGTATACTTTGCTTGCAGGAACAGTCCTGTGATGTTAATTCTTAATGTCAGCGTCCACCTTCAGACTTTGGCCAGGTATACTGATAACACACACACTGCTTTATATCACTGGAAAACGTGGTCAGTTTTGAGGAAAAGAGATAAAAGGATGAAGCTGATGTCTAGGGAGGGAAAGACAGTGAAAGTCAAGATCTGGTTGCCACTACTTGAGGGTTTAAAAGTATTGTTTTGTGTAGACTGTGTCCAGTAGCAATCCCTAGATCTTTATCATCACCAAAAGCAACACCAAAATTTTGTGAGAGATTTCTAAACTGCCCTTCATCAAGGGGATCCCAGGAACTCAATATGGAAAATTGTCTGGAAAGGAGCTCAGCCAGACCCTGATATGGTGACCTGCCATCATTTTTGAAGCATTTGGTGCAGAAGTTCCTATCTAGCCCATGTGATATAAGGAACAAAGTTTGAAAACATGTGGCTAGTGCCTGCTGTGAAGGCTTAGTTACCAAAGGGAGTTTTGGACAAGTCTTCCCATCGTAACAGGTTTCTGTACCATGTACTATGACAAGTCACCCAAATCAGTTGATAATTTTCATGCACTCGTGTTACTTGGCCCTCTAATGCCTGAGTTCATGTTGGAACAAGGCTAGGAATACCGTGACTCAAACAAATTTTGTATGGGTGTCCTTAAATTCGGAGCACAAGATGTTGATGTCCTCAGTGCACTGTAACAGTAAAATAAGAAGTGCAGAACAGGTTTATGACCACCAAGTAAATAAGACCTCAACTGCTACTAGGCTAGTAAAAAAAGTGTGTGTGTGTGGTTTCTATGAAGGTGGGGGTCAGTTCCCTCTCTGCTGGACCACTGTGGGTCGTCGTCGTCGTCCCCCATGCTAGTTGTAGAGCCTTTTCGTCCTCTGCAGTTAGTACAGAAACCACGCAGAGGAGGATCAGTCATCCTTCCTTCTACTGCCAGGCTTGCTTGCCTAGAATTCTTAATTTGGCTACGGCCCCTAGGCAAGCCTATAGGTTGTACTGATGGGGGGAAGGCAGGGAGCAAAGCCAGTTCACAACCCTTAAGTAACTCACTTGCCTTTTCTTCCGACAGGGTCACCTTGTCTGCCACGGACTGTTACATTGTTCACGAAATCTACAACGGCGAGAATGCTCAGGACCAGTTTGAATACGAGCTGGAACAGGCCTTAGAGGCTCAGTACAAATACATTGTGATTGAGCCCACGCGCATTGGGGACGAGACGGCCCGCTGGATCACTGTTGGGAACTGCCTGCACAAGACGGCCGTGCTGGCGGGCACAGCCTGCCTCTTCACCCCCCTGGCTGTTCCCGTAGATTATTCCCATTACATCTCTTTGCCTGCTGGCGTCCTCAGCATAGCCTGCTGCACCCTCTATGGGATCTCTTGGCAATTCGACCCCTGCTGCAAGTACCAAGTGGAGTATAATGCCTATAAACTCTCTCGCCTGCCCCTGCATACACTCACCTCCTCCACTCCCGTGGTTCTGGTGAGGAAGGACGACCTGCACAGAAAGAGACTGCAGAACACGATAGCACTCGCTGCCCTGGTGTACTGTGTAAAGAAGATTTATGAACTTTACGCCGTATGATTGCGGCAGAGGAAGGAGAAATCCGCAAAGACAAAAAAAAAAAAAAAAGTGTATTAAGACTCCCACAGTGACATTCAACTTTTCTTCTTGAAGTGGTGCCTGGGAAGCAGTTTGGTTTATCCATATATTATTATTATTTTGTTATTTTTAGAACAAAAATAACATGTCACTGGGTGCATCAAGGGAATTTTCAGTTTTCTTACACCTCAGACATGGATCTGCCGTGAAAAGGAACACTGTGGGAGCTGAAGTCAATAATGGAATGTCAATGAACGGAAAGATACCTAAGAGGGAGTGTGGGTTTTTTGTTTCCCCCCCAAGAAACCTTTAAGTATATTGTTTAATTGTATTCTACAGAACCAGCTCAAAGTTATCACTGACCATTCATTAAAGGATGAGAATTTCAAGTGGTTTGCTTTCTTTTGGTGCCAAAGTTGTTTCTAGAGGAATAACTCTTAAGGAAGGCTATAATCATACTAACTCGTGAGTTTGAAGTGCAGCTTTTGATTATGAGTAGATGGCCTCCTTGAGGAGGGTTCACTGTTTACGGCAACAAGAGGAAGTTTGCTGGGTGCTTCCTTCGTCAGAGCAAGCCCTTGGTGTTAACTTGCCCAATATTTGTACTGCTGGAACACAGAAACATAAGCCATGCCCTTTTGCGTGGGGCTTACCTGCCCTCAAAGCTTAGTAAGCCTTGCAGTGCAGGAAAGTCGCAGGAAAACTTAAAATGTTAACTAAGACAAGGCTGAATTTGCAAATTCTGCTGGATTTTACCTGGTGTTAAGATTATGCTGTTAGCATGCAAAGAACAATTCTTCCCTTCATGTAATTGTACAGGGATTAAATAGCCTTTATAATGGACTTCAGCCCTGTAAAAAGTAGCACTTCAATGGCAAATTTAAATATCCTCCATAGCAGATCATAGTGTAACTGCCCTATTGTAAGCACCAGAGTTTATTTTTTATTCTGAATACTAATGCCCAGTGAAGCATGTGCTGTTTGAATGTCTCAGTACACCGTTAAAGAACAGGTCTGTTAAGTATCTCTTTCCCCCTTTTCTGTGTTTTATAACACACAAACTTGCTTCTGAACGCTGTAAGCAAATGATCTTCCATAAACTGCCAGCCCCTATGACACACTCACAAAAACTCGCATGCAGCTTTTCCCCCCAAGTACAAGTGAAATTGTAGGCAGGCCACTTGCTCTTCTATAACAGGACTTTATTTCAATCATCATTGCATGCACCCTCTTTAAACTTTGCTGTTATCTGGCAGAAAAAAATCCATGTTACGTTCTTCCCTCCCTAGCATCTAGTTCAACCTATCTTGGATCCTGCCCCTGCTGCCCAGTGATGGGGAACTCGGGGATGAAGCCAGTGCTAGCCACGCTTAAGAGTGGACCCACTGAAATGAATGGGCCTCCTCTGAATAACCTTGGTGACGACAGAGTGTAATGATAGTTGAGCATGAGGTATATTGTACTTGCCATTATGTTATGTATGGGGAACTTGAGGCAGAGCTGCCCTTCTTGCAGTATTTAGTCAAGTCCCCTGCTCCTTTTAACTTTTCAGTGAACTGTGGATTGTGTATAAGTCTTCATTTCCTAGTTGGAAACAAGAAGTCTTCCCTCTGATCACATTTTAACTGATAAATCCTAAAAGGACCCCTGGGTATTTTCGCAAGGCTCTGGGAAAGAGTAAGACTATTGTGACTTCCAGTACAAGCTTTGAACTTGTGAATGGAAGCATGTGAGCATGCTCAGATCACATACAGGTACATTCTCTTGCTTAGCGTGATAGCTGCAACCTGACCTTTGTGCTATGTTTAGTGACCTTGGAATGGCATCCCACAAGGGCAAAGCCAGAACTCAGTGCTATCTTTAGCCCTTGGAATCCAGTACAGCAAGCAGAGAGCTTGCTGCTGCTTCTGTTCAGTAGGTCAGTTTGGCCAAGGGTTGAAATCCTGCAGCCTTGTGGTCACAGTATCTGTTGAGTGCGCCAAGCAGATTCCTGTAGCTGTATTTGCTTGCTGGAGACCAGGATTATAACAGGCATTCTGCAAGTAACTAATGCAGTAATTCCCTCAAATTATAAACCAGAAGGGTGAAAAAAAGCACAAATATTATGTAAAGTGTTTTAGCTTCTGCTGGTACAAGCAATCACTAATGTTCATTTATTTACTCTCAAGGTTAAGAATTCTGAGAACCATCTTGTTAGTTCTACGGAGTTGTGTGATTGCTGCAAGGAATCTTTGTGTTACCTGCCTTATCAGAAGCATGGAAACTGCGTCTGTCTATGAACAATTCTGCTTTCAGGAATCAGGCTTTTGAATTTGCCATTAGAGAATCAGTAAGACTGAATGGTGATGGAGGCTGGTACTACTATCAGGCAAGGATGTTCTTTGCGCACTAGATACTACATTCAGATGAGCTGCAGAGCAAAACAGTATATGTAGTTCCTCTTTCATGTCTATTTTAATAGCAGTTAGCAACTCGGATCTGCCTAAAGAAGATAAGCTGCAGCATCCCACCCCCCATATAACGGGAGGGGGGGACAACAGCTTTCTGATACTTGGATGTGTTAGTGGAGTTACCTGTAGTTCCTACCCAGGACCTACTCTGAGCTCAACAGGTGAGAATACCAAGCTAAGCTACTAGGAATAAGGGTAGTGGAGGTGGTAGCTTTTGAGCCCTGGCCAAAACGCAGTAAGTGCAGTTGGACAATGCATGTGCAGCACAAGCTTATTTAGTTTCAGCTGCCTGCATCCCTTCTCCCCACCCTGGCAAAAAGAAGCAGCCTGCAACCACTTAGGTTTTTTAAGAGAATGATATTGGAGGCAATGGTTTTCTTTCGTTCTCCCCCAATAAGTATTTTACATTCAGCTGATGAGAGCCCAGGCCAGAGGAAAGTAAACATAGTAAGCTGCCAGTAGCCTGTTGTCTTGTGGACAAGCCCAAATAAGACGAATGGGAGCTGTGGAGGTGTGCAGTTCCTGCTCATTTCAACACGCAGGAGAATTCCCATGGCCGAACTTCTTGCAGATGAAGCCCTTTGTCCCAGGGAGCCAACAAAGTGCTGTAAGTGGTGAAAGCAGCTTTTCGGATGCCATCAGTGATGTGCAAGCAGCACAAGCCTGGCTCCGACTCTTCACCGCAAGCGAGAGATGCAACTTAAACAATCCTGAAGTTCATGCTTCCCACAGACCCTGGACACATCAGCTGGTAGCTTCTGGTTTTAAACCGGTGGTTTAAAATGAACTCCCAATTGGTTAAGAATCCTTGGCTTTCCTTTCTTTCCGGGCTCTAGATGCCATAAAGTGGAAGAAGAGCCTGGGACAGAGCGTTCGCATGTACACGGCCAGAGAAGGCATGAAGCCAGCAACCAGCACGTCCTTCTTCTTCTCCCCAACAGCACTCAGAACCACCTGAGCCACCTCTGCAGCTGCCTTGCCTTCAGAAGTTGTCTTGTCCATTTCTGAAAAGAACAACAAATTACTACCTCCCTCTAGAGAGCCAGGAGGCTCAAGATTACAAATTAAGCCCATAGATCAAGAGATGTGCGGAGGTGAGACTCTGCAAACAAGTCTGTGACCATTGAACATGGGCCACTAAAGCCATTGAAGATTATCCAACTTCGTTAAATGTGCTAGTTTTTATATTGGGCCTTTTCAGTCAATGCCAAACTTTGAGAAACCGGGCTTTCCCCTTTCCCTCCACTGGCACTCCCTGTACGCCAACAGATGCATATAATTTACACAAGCAAAGCTAGTCCTCACCTCCATACTGGGATCCATCTGCCATTACGGCATTAAGTGAGAGATTTGTCTGAATGTAGCCGGGGCTCACAACTGTGACGTCGATGTCGTACTGCTCCACTTCTGCTCGTAGGCAGTCAAAGAAGGCTTGGGTGGCATGCTTAGAGGCAGCATCTAAAAACCCCAAAGGTGACACAATTTCAGTTGACTTCCGATCTGCAGCTTCCCAGTCAAAATGCATAGCTGCCTTTTGCACGAGGCATGTAACAGCGTAAATAGCTATTAGCTACCAGAACTGAATGCAGCCTATTCCAAGGCAGTAGGCTTTTGCTGGGGCAAGCAACAAGGGTGCTTATGTCTGATTCTGCTCTGCTTACAAGCTTTCCAATGACATCTTGCCAGTGCTGGAGCACACAGGCCCTTGGTCCAGCCCAAGATGGGTAGACTTTAATAGTATGCCAGCTGCTAAACAGCTTCTTGTTAAAGGGAAATTTGGGAGGATCTTAAAGGGATTTTAAGCATTCAAAACCAAGTTGTAAACTGGCATGGGTCTCTGCAAGCATCTTCATAATCACGTGAAATACTTAATTTCTGTTTTAGAGAGGGAAAACGGGGTGATTTGCCCAGCTCAGCTCCAATGTGCTCTTTGCTGAATCACACGGGTTTATGCCAAACAAATGAAGCAGGAGCTTTTGAGCATGGTGTCTTTTTACAGGCTACGAACAATGGCACTACCCTGTTCCTTTTCCGATTTCTTATTTTAGGATTGGAGGGTTAGATTTCAATATATGCGGAGAAGTTCCAAGTCTGTTAGGTTAGCATGAATGCTATAATCAGATTCAGCACAACTACTTAGGCAGATTTTGATGGCAAAGTTTGCATTCTTAACGTAAATGTGATGTAGGGGGAGGATTACCTGGGTAAGGGCAGTAATTATCCAGAATGAAGTTGCGCATTTTGGACTACACAACGCAAGATGTAAGCTACCTTCCAGTGATGCAGAAGATACCAAAGCACCCCTCTAAAATGGGACCCTGCATTGCTGGCACCCATAGAAATTGAGTTCTTTGTGCAGTAGGACTGGCCCTGTGGAAGTCACACCCAGCTCTCTGAAGACAAGCAAAGATGAAGATAGGGAGAGCAGAAACTATTCTTCCCAATGTTTGAGGTTCACCTAAGCCAGTGTTTCTGAAACTTGGGTCACCTGCTTTTGCTGGACTACGACTCCCATCATCCCTGACCACTGGTCCTGCTAGCTAGGGATGATGGGAGTTGTAGTCCAACAAGAACAGGAGACCCGTGTTTGAGAAACACTGGCCTGAGGCTCCCCTCCCTTGAGCTCTATATGTGCTGTATCTACCATAACGTGCTGGCTGCCCTTTTCTGGTGAGCTGGTGGTTCCAGAGCAGCCAACCCCTCCCAAGCCTTGTGAAGAATACTTACAAGCCGAACGGTAAGGAATGCTAATTTTGCCTTGAACGCTGCTGATGGCGACGATGTGGCCTTTTCTCCTCTTGATCATGGAAGGCAGAATTGCTAGAGAGAGGAGGGAGGGGGAGAGAATGAGAATGCAACTCCACAATCTTGCCATGAGAAAGAATGTGTGCTTGGATCCTGGGAGACCAGGGTTTCTTCCTTATGCTGCTACCTAGAATCGTGTGTGTGTGTGTGTGTGTAACTGTCTTACACAAATGTATTTCAACTGCCTAATTTATCCTAGTCACAATTTCTTGGGGATTCCTAACAGACCTTGAAGTTGCAATATTTGTAGAAATGCTTCCTGAAGAGAGGCAAAATAATCGCACTGGGATCCAAAAGATGACCTTGCAGTTACTTCTTATCCAAGGCAGGAATTGTTCCTACCCTGATCCTGAAAAACTCTATTTGGAACAAAGTTCCACTGATTTCAGTGAAAGAAACGAGCCCTTTTTTCTTAAGAAATCTACTTGGACGTAAAATAGGATGCACATTGGAGAAGGGTCAGCTGGAACAGGTGGGTCCCATTTTTACTTGCCCAGAAACTCAGTAAGGAAGGTGCAAATAAAACTATTGTATCCCTGTATTACATAGACAAGCCTTTCTCAACTTTTGGTCCCCAGATGCTCTCAAACTACAACTCACATCATTCCTGTCCACTGGCCATGGTGGCTAAGGGATGAGAGGTGTAGTCCAAAAACATCTAGGGACCCAGGGCTGAGAAAGGCAGACACAGACTATGAGCAAGGAATGTAAGACTCAATGGAGCTGGTGGGCCAATGTTTCCACCAAGCAACTGCTGAGGGTCTGCATCTACATTTTCCCCACCAGTGTAGTGTGTAACAGCCAATTCGCCAGACTTCTTTGTTTCCTGCTGCCCTCTAAGATTTTCTCATGTAGAGAAATGCTACAAGGGTGGGGAGAGTTGCTTTGAAAGAGGGATCAGCAGCCGAAAGGCGACTGCCTGATGCTTGCCCGCTTTGCTTTTCTACAAGCTCTCCTCCAGGAAGATATTAAAATGGCAAGCAAGGACCATTTTAGCTTGAAAGTAAGCCTATGGTTTGTGTCACCATGGTCGTTTTCAAGACTGTTACATGAAGCACGTCCCACGGGCCTTACAAAGAACTCCAGGGTGGAGGGAGAGCCAGACAAACGTAACTCCTTGTTCCCTTAGCAGCCTAGCTGTAAGCCCTCTGAACAGCACTTAAGTGGTCTACATAGAATCATAGGATTGTGGAGTTGGAAGGGATCCCGAGGGTCATCTAGTCCAACCCCCTACAATGCAGGAAGCAAATCTAGAATACTGCAGAGGTGTAACTGCTAAAGAAGTGGGGCACAGAAACCACCGCAGGAAACATTAGGATGTGTGCAGAAAGACACAGGAGGAGGCTGTTACAGTGTACCTTTTGTCAAAGCAATTGGGCCAAAGTAATTGGTTTCCATCACTTTCCTGTCCACTTCTATCAGGGTGTCCACAATTGTGCCGCGGTAGCTGATTCCAGCATTGTTAATCAAGATGTCTACATGGCCTGCACACTTCAAAATCTCTGCGGCAGCGCCAACGACTGCTTTGATGTCAGCGAGGTCAAAGACCACAGTGTGGTGTTTATGGGGCTGTTGAAAAAGAAAAGAAAAAAGCAGTTAATCGTATCTGAACCTATTCAGCTGCAAGGTTCATCGGGTAGCCTTGGTGAAACCACTCGCTTAGCCTATCCTCTCTCACAGTGTGATACTGGGAAGATAAAATGGCATTATATGCATGCCACAGGGATCTAGGGAAATGTTTATAAATCAATGCACGCTCTGGACATTTGAGGGAAGCCCCCTCCCCAAAAAATATTTGGGGGGGGGCAAAGGGCTTGGCACCCCTGCTACCAGCACGTTTGGAAGGAGCAACTGGCTTATATGGCTTAAAACAGGGCTGCTTCCTGGATTTTGTTTGGGGTGGGGAGGGGATGGACCTTGGGCAAGGTGCTTTCAGGCCTAGTTAGCTTATCTCATTAACACACAATATGGAGATATCAAGGACCAGGCTTGCAGAAGACATCTGAAGGCAGCCCTGTTCAGGGAAGTTTTTAATGTATGACATTTTAATGTATTTGTAATCTTTGTTGGAAGCCGCCCAGAGTGGCTGGGGAAACCCAGCCAGATGGGTGGGGTACAAATAATAAATTATTATTATTATTATTATTATTATTATTATTATTATTATTATTATTATTATTATTATTACAGAGGTTGCTGCTCCTTTTGCTACTTGCTTGCTTGCTCAAAGAACAGATCAGGCAGCAGCAGCAGCAAGGATGGGAGGCACCAGGGATTGGCAGTGGGACACAGGCTTCAGTGAGCATTCAATGATGCTGAGCCCTGACGCCGACCCTGGCTTTAAAAGGGGGTTAATTTGACCCAGCAGCACACAGAAACAAAACACATTGCAACCAACCATGCCCTGCACCCTCTGGACTCTTGCACTGCCAGCAAAACAAAATCCCTGTGTACGTGATGCTGACACAAAAGCTCTGCAAATGTACCATGTAAAAGAATGACATTTTACTGTCTTCCCCTTTCCACCTCTCTCCCTCTCCACCTCTCCTCTTCCCACAACCCCATAAACCTGTGACCTGCGTGAAAAGCATCACTGACCTACAGTCTCTCCTCCCCCCCTCCCCCCCTTGCTTACGTTCTTTGGGTGGCCAGCAGCAGTGGAGAGCTCCTGCAGAAGGTCTTGAAGTCTCTCTCTGCTCCTACCACACAGCACCAGTTCTGACCCAGCAGCATGGAAAGCTTTGGCACATTCTTGGCAAAGAGAGAGAGAGAGGGGGGGGAATGCCTTTACACAACGACCACACTTGGAATGCTCTTTTAGGTGAATGCACTTCAGAAAGGATACTGGTAGATCTAGAATCAGTAGAGAAAATGGCCAAATGATCAGGATTAAGTTAGAGACTACTTTGGGTAGGAAAAGAAGAACTCAAGTGGGGGGGGGGCGGACGGACAACATGATTGCGATTTACAAAATTATGCATGCTGTATTGTGGGGAAATGGATTAAAGCCACCCTTCCCAATCATTGTAAAACCCAGGCTCAGCCAATGAAGCTGACTTTGGATCAGTTATGGGTTGGGCGACCTGTAGCACAATAACATCTGAATAGCCACAGGTCCCATAACTCCTTTCTTTATAGACACGTGTTTTGGTACGTATCTGACACTTTGTTTGGCCTCAGCCCAATTTTATATTTAATTTCTTTATTCAAAGGTTCTGCTGGTAAATGAAAGGGGGAGGTGGTGAATAAAGCAGAACACTGAGGGAAGCATGCATGGATCTATGATCACATTTTCGATTCAGCATTTCAGTGTGATAGAATTGCCGTGAGAGAGAGACTGGTTTGTCAAAGGGCACCCAGTAAAATTTATGGCCGAGCAGGGATTTGAACACTGATCTCCTCGGCAGAAGACCTTTATCCAGAGTACTGCACTGCATCGCTGCTACTGCAGAACATAATTCCCCTTTATGTGCATGTGATGGTGAGGGAGCCTTCTTCGTACAACTCCCATCTTCCCTGACCACTGGCTGCCTAGAGCTGATTGAGAATTGCAGTCCAAAAACATTGAGGGGAGGGGCCAAGCTGGGGAAGGCTCTTTGAACCTGTGGGACCATTGAACGGCCTCAAAAACAGTCAGTGCTCCAACACTCTTGAAACTACTTGGGCATGAGCATCACAAGACTGGTCTGGTATCCATGGCAGGCCCAGAAGGCTGCACCACAAGAACAGGCCTTTGTGGTGGCTCCCTGCTTGTGGGATGTTCTCCCCAGGGAGACTCACCTGGCACCCTCACCACATCTCTTTAAGCACCAGGCAGAAACACTCCTCTTCTCCCAGGCCTTTTGCTAATTAAGCCATCTATGGCCTTTTAATCCTGCCAACCTAGCAGTTCGAAAGCATGTCAAAGTGCAAGTAGATAAATAGGTACCACTCCGGCGGGAAGGTAAATGGCGTTTCCGTGCACTGCTCTGGTTCACTAGAAGCGGCTTAATCATGCTGGGCCACATGACCCGGAAGCTGTACGCCGGCTCCCTCAGCCAATAAAGCGAGATGAGCGCCACAACCCCAGAGTTGGCCACGACTGGACCTAATGGTCAGGGGTCCCTTTACCTTGTAAGGTCTTTTAAACGCTGTGTGTGTGTGTGTGTGTGTGTGTGTGTTGAGGAGGTTATTGTTTTTGTTTGTTAACAGGGTATGGTTTTTTATGTTTTCATATTGCAAACTGCTTTGTGTTCTTCGGATGAAGTATAGAGATTTAATAAACAACAAGAATGATGATATTCACCATTTCCTTAAAAAAGAGAGAAATATTGTAATGAATAAATCAGCTAGGAGAACTGTTTTGGATAAGGACCACAGGTTCACGACTGAGAACATGTTTTACATGCAGAAGGTCCCAGGGTCAATCGCCAGTGAGCTGGGTTGGGAAAGAACCCCTTCCCTGCCCTGAGACTTTATAAAACCACTCCCAACGGAGAACAGACAACACTGAAGCCAATGGGGTAAGGCAGTTTCCAAGGTTCAGTCCAACTGTGAGCCCTTTTCAGTTCTCATTGGGATCCTGTACGAATCTGTCAAACATTTTTTTTTGGGGGGGGGGGAGACGCAGCTCAGTGGCACGGAACTCATTTTCAACAAAGCAGGGCTCAATCCCTTTTGTTTTTAATTAAAAGTATCTCAAGCAACAGTACCCCTTCTCGATGGCTGCTCCCAGACTCTGGAACTACCCTCATAGAGAAATCAGACTGGCTCCCTCCTTGTTGTCCTTCTGCCAGCAGGTGAATACTTTTTTGTTCCAACGGGCTTTTGGGAACTGGTTTTAAGGAAAGGGCTGGTACTGTGATATTTTTATTGCAATAATCTCTGTGTTTCAATAAATACCCCCATGTTTTTAGCTGTTTCAGTTTTAACTGCCTCGAGTCACTGTCGAGGAAAAGGGCAGGGGAAAAACCAAATAAACAAAATCTGGAGACATAGCTGTGGGACAGATGAACTAGTACACTATGATGCATTAAGGTAGCTCTTCCTTCCCAAGAAGTCACAGCACCTTGAGGAGAAACCCACGCTCTAAGCTTGTGGTTGGGCCAACGACCAAGCACACAGCTACGATAAGGCAGTGAGGACATTCTGTTCCCAAAGGGCTTTCAACGCTGTTCTGCAGAGAACAGGAAAGCACCTCCACCGGGGGCCACGTGTCAGTTGCCGGTGAATTAAGTTACAGAAGGCTGCATAACTGTTTCCCTTTCCCCACCCATTTTAAGGATGTTCTCGGCTCATGGGAGAATTGACTGGAGTGGGGTGCCTGAGTTTGAATCACTGGCTGAGACTTGCCTCCAAGCTGGAAAAAAACAGGTTAGGGCAGGTGTTACCCAACTATACGGGCAGGTTCCCCATTTTTGCGTGGGAGTGACTGAAAATGCCATGGATTGAGAAAGTCCTCCCCACCAGGGAAGGTTTAGCATTGCTAGGTACTTTTCACAGGCCCCATGACTCAGAGAACCAATAGCAGGCGTGGGGAACCTTTGGATGTTGCTAAACTACCACTCCCATAATCCCTGGCAATTGGCCATGCTCGCTGAGATTGATGGAAGTTGAAGTATGTATAGAGTGACTTGGGGCAAATCAAGCTGGCAGGTGGCTGGGATTTCACCAGCACTGCACTTTGCAGGGCACCTAGTCTTCCAGTCACCAAATTAAAGCAGGGTTTCCAGGTGTTTTTGGACTACAACGCCCATCATCCCTGACCACTGGTCCTGCTAGCTAGGGATGATGGGATTTGTAGTCCAACAACAGCAGGAGACCCAAGTTTAGGAAACCTTGCCGTGAAGTTTTACCCAAAAAGCAGGACAGGGGATCTGAGGCCCAGCAAAGAAGACCTGGAGTCTGGGGGTCCTGATTCACCTCAGGCCCTTGCCAATGCATGCTCCTGCGCTTGGAGCGATGGAGATGGGGAACAAAGTAGCAGGCAATAAGATGGAACAGACTTCTGGCTGGTCCTTAATGTTTCTGGGATGGAGCCACCTTCCATCCCAGAAACATTAAGGACCAGCCAGAACGGCTAAATGATGAGGTGTTTCTGTATCTTGTGGAATTCTCTCTTGTTTTACTTAAGCCATGTGTTCTTTGGGAAGCAGCTATTGTTCTGGTGTTCTGCTTGCTGTGTGTGCGTATATGGAGTTTGGTGCTGCTTTGGGATTCACATTGCCACTAAGAAGCAAAGGTTGCCATGTTGACCCATACGAAAAATTCCCAAACACAGAAAAGGGCCACATCTTTATAAGGCCAATCAAAATGGCACAAGAGACTGAGGGAGCTTCTGAGTTTTCCAAGCCTTGGGCAGGTTAAGCAAAGTGGGGAAGGATAGAGGGGAAAAAGGCTGGTGTAACAGCCCTAAAATCTGAATTGGTACATATTTAAATGGAGTGCAAGTAAACTAGCAAATTTAACAAATTAGATGCAATGCAGGTTTTGGGTTTCATCTAGGGATGAGGACATGCACAATGGCCAAGTCCCCATTTTTTGAACATTTGTAAAATCCAGAAGTTCTGTTGTGACTTGCCTCCCACCTGCTCAACCTGTATATTTGCTAAGAGATGCTACTGAAGAATAAAATTAAAAAACCAAGACTCCTCAGGTTCCCTCCTCCTTCACAAGGAATCTGATCCTGTAAGGCTAAGCTTGACCTTCGTGGTGTGAGATGAGAGTTTAGTAACACCCTATTTCCTGAGAAAACATTTTGAGTAATGTACAAGCTGTCCTGTACAGGCTGTTCTCCTCTCCACCTCCATGCCAAATGTCTCAGAAACCTACCTTTCCCTAGTCCAGAAGTTGCTCCTGTGATCACCACCACTGCATCCTTCAGGTAGGCTCTCACACGCATTCTCTGAAGCAGCCGGAAGAGCCCAAAAACCCCCAGGCTGCCAAAAAGCAGTGGAAGAATCATCATAGAGGTGAGATCCATCACTTTTCTTCTAGGGTTCGTCCTGGAGTTACAGGAAGGAAGCAGAGAACAAGAGCACATTACACAAACTGATCACAAACCACCTTCCACTCTCCTGTTTCCACACAGAACAGATTCAATCCAACACAGCAGCTCCCCAGCCTCCAGGGCCTGTTTCATAACATGTAAAAATCAGTATACAAGGGAGCAATTGGGCTGGGCTCAGCTGTGCCAATTGCCTTCTGGCCTCTTTTGTATTGTGACATTGCCTTCCACCTCTCTCTCAAATCACAGGCATGGAAATGAACAGAGTATGCTTTGTATCAGGGAGTCAAGGCAATCCCCCCACTTATGCTTGGTAGATTTGTGCACAACCGTGCATATGCGCGGCGCCAGGAAATTATTAAATAATTCAATTCAAACCTGCAATCGCGGGAGAGAGCTGGACAGTTCTCGTGGAGACCCTCCCCAGAGCCCGAAGAGGACAGCAGTGAGGGCGGAGGGAGCCCCCAAGAGGCTGGAGGCTTTGTACATGCTGCTCAGCCTCCCCTCCTAACAGCTGATGTGTGGGGTTGCACAGCAAGAACAGCCGCTTTCCTGCACGACCTCTAGCCTCCTGCCAACCCCAGAGCTTCCATTCTAGTTGTGGATATCTTTGAATAGAGTATTTTTTGGTATGGGTTGAAGAGAGAGTGGCAGAGAAGGCGTATAATGGGTGCGCCCCACTTTACATGATTTCCTTTATGCGCGTGGGGGCCTGGAACATAACCCCCACATAAGTGGGGGGACGCCTGTATACAAGCTTTGTACCAGGGAGTCAATATTCAAATCCAAACATGCCAACTAAGTCAGGCTTGTAAATATAACCACCTGCCTGGTTGCTTGTGGCAAGTAAGAATTACCTCTGGGCAACCAGGCAGAAAGAAAGACAGCTGGTTTCTGTGTGTGTGTGTGTGTGTGTGTGTGTGTGATGTTCTGATGACTATGATAGACTTCTCTCTATCATATTCATCAGAACATCATGATCTGGAAGAACAGACACCAGACACAGAACAACCGCACTTTAAAAAACAGGACAGCAACCCACAGACCACAGGCACTGCCAAACAGAAGTAAACAGACTTCCAGGGGGCCAAGGCTAACCAGATGCTACATACAATATATGTAGTGGAGTTCCAATGCTAAGTGTAATGGTGTTTCTTAAAGCAGGTTCAGAGAAAGGTGGATGGAGAAGCAAAATCACTTCTGTACCTCTTATCTTTATGAGCATTTCATATCATTTACATGTGCGATTCATGACATTTAGACAGGACCTGCAAGAAAACATTATAATACACCCTCACCATCTAGCAGAAGTGTTTCTGTCTGCCGGCTTTGCCCTACTCACACATGCTAGTGAAAGCTGTAAGGAGCTGAAGCAAGGCAGTCACGCTGAGCCGGCGAAGTGGTGTTGGAGCAACACCTAGGAGATCAGGATTCAATCCCCCACTCGGGGAGGAAGCTCACTGGGTGACCTTGGACCAGCGACCCAACTGACCTCACAGGGTTGATGTGAGGACAGAATGGGAAGCAGCAGAACTATGTGTGCCTTGGGCTCCTTGCAGAAAAGGCGGACTACAAATGTAAAGATGAATGAATGAATTCCACTGCCCACCCCATTTCTTTTTCAAGATTTTGTGGCTACTCAGAAAGCTCAATCTCACTGAGCTGGTTTTTTTTAATAAAAAACACACACATTTATTTGTGTTTCTGCAAATGTATGGGTTCTCCTAGCATGCTGATACCTTCTTCCTGTTTTGGCTCTGGTCCTGTGGGTACTCGCTACCAGAGTTTGCAATTAAAGGGGTTATATTACCAATACATACTAGTCGGAAAAAATATAATCAGATGATTCTCAGTCTTACCATAGATCAATGATCTACACATGTAGGGGAATGCCAAAAAAATATGAAACAAACTCCATTGAAAGCAGAAGAGCAGCAACATACACAAAACAGGCAAGAAGGAGGGAAATAGCAAACCACCTTCTAGACAGCCGTGCCCAGGAGATAAAAGCCTCCGGATCCATAGCCAGATAAATTTCCTTACCACACTCTGGGTCTCTCGTTTCTGGAGAAAGGTTTGCCCCAAATAAACATGGTGCCAGATTAAGGAGTTCCATTTTGCCGCTTTAGAAACTAATTTTCTACAGGGAGAGTATTCAATCAACATTATTGTAAAAAAAAAAGAAGGAAAAAAGGGAAGCATTCTGTTTAAAGTTGTTTACAAGGACACCCTGGGAACTAGCTTAAAAACCCACAAAGCAGTCTGGGATTGCCACTCATAAAACAAAGCTACTTCCATTTCACACTGTGTTGCACATCAGATCTCCCGGATGCCTCACCAAGTGAACAGTGTTATGTTTTCTAAATTTTAGGATGATGTGAGGAAATGAATAAGCTGGTTAAGGACAGCAGAAACCAGCAAGGAAGATAGGAGTTGGTTTATTAGTACAAGATGTCAAGCAAAGTTCCCCAGCAAAGTTCAACTATTTCAAAAGGCCACCTATTTTGAGCACATGCTGAACTCTTCCTGATGAAATCACTGGGTCTCACTAGCACTTAATGCTGATGGAATGGTGCTCATATCTATTCTGTAGGTATGCTGTGGTCTAAACCACTGAGCCTCTTGGGCTTTCCAATCAGAAGGTTGGTGATTCAAATCCACACAACAGGTTGAGCTCCCATTGCTCTGTCCCAGCTGCTGCTAACCTAGCAATTCAAAAGCATGCCAGTGCAAGTAGATAAATAGGTACTGCTGTGGCAGGAAGGTAAACGGCATTTCCATGTGCTCTGGCACTTGTCACAGTGTCCCGTTGCACCAGAAATGGTCAAGTCATGCCGGCCACATGACCTGGGAAGCTGTCTGTGGACAAATGCCGGCTCCCTCGGCCTGAAAGCAAGATGAGCGCCGCAACCCCATACAGTGGTACCTCAGGTTACAGACACTTCAGGTTACAGACTCCGCTAACCCAGAAATAGTACCTTGGGTTAAGATCTTTGCTTCAGGATGAGAACAGAACAGCGGCAGGCCCCATTAGCTAAAGTGGTACCTCAGGTTAAGAACAGTTTCAGGTTAAGAACGGACCTCCAGAACGAATTAAGTTCTTAACCCGAGGTACCACTGTAGTAGCTTTTGACTGAACTTAACTGTCCAGGGGTTCTTGACCTTTTACCTTTACATACCTACAGAATAGGTATCAGCACCTATTCCCCCAGAGGTGGGGGAACCAGATGTTGTTGGACTCTGCTTTTTCCCCAGAAAAAAGGTCCTGGAATGCACTTCTCTCAGAAGACCTACCCCAGAGCCCAAAGAGGATATCTTCGGGCTCCTGGGTGCAGAGAGTCTCCTCACCAGCCAGAGGCTTCTTGAAGCTGCTTTGGTGAGGCTAGCAGAGTCTTCTGAGCCTCAGCTAAACATTTTTTAAAACTTCCCTACACAGGGCTGCCTTCAGTTATTTTAGGAAATTAGGCATTGGATGGGAGGGAGTTCCACAGGGCAGGGGCCACTACTGAGAAGACCCTCTGCCTGGTTCCCTGTAACTTCTCACAATGAGGAAACTGCTAGAAGGCCCTTGGAGCTGGACCTTAGTGTCCAGGCTGAACGATGGGGGTGGAAACGCTCATTCAGGTATACAGGGCCGAGGCTGTTTAGGGCTTTAAAGCTCAGCACCAACACTTTAGCTGTGCTCGGAAACATACTGGGAGCCAATGTAGATCCTTTACGTCCAGTGTTATATGGTCCCAGCAGCTGCTCCCAGTCACTAGTCTAGCTGCCACATTCTGGATTAGTTGTAGTTTCTGAGACACTTTCAAAGGTAGTCCCACGTAGCACATGACAGCTATGGACTTACCCTGCTAGCATCGACCAACTATGCTTTAAAACATTCTTAAGGGGAGTCTTTGCAGGTGAAATTTAAAGTGGCTTGCTACAATTAGGTTTGCAAAGCAGAGCCCTCCCTTATAGACATTAGAAACCTAAATGTAGAAACACAATTGCCTCTCTGTTCTGCTTTGCAGAGAATGAGACACTTATAACAAATACCAAGAGAGGTTCGAAGAGGATTTGATTTGAGCTCGTGTGTGAGAAGGGAGAGGAATGCCCTTAAGTAAAATGGTGCCGTTATAAAAATAAATGTAAGCAGCACAGCCTTTGGCCTTATTCTATTTGTGTAAAACACCACAAGGCCTTGTCGGGTCACCCCCCGCAGTGTGAAAAATACAGTGTGACCCCGCACACCCGCGATCCTACCTTTCTGCACAGAGCTGCCTTCCCTGAAGTGTGCCCTATATCTGTCTCAAACATTTTGACAGAGGGTAGACAGATTTAAAAAAGGAAATGGCTGGCAGCCAAGCTTACACTTTTAGTCCAGCATTGGCACAAGTGATCAAGGACGGCCTCCAAGAACAAGGCTCAGAAACACTCCACTGCATTTGAGATGGAGGAGGTCATTTAAGTTTAGAGAGAAGAATTGGAAAGATGAGCTCAGAGGCGCTTATTCCTCTCCTCCCCAGTAGCCTTTCTTTGATTTGCTATACAGTGGAACCTCGGATTGCGAACGTGATCCATGCAGGAGGCACGTTTGCCACACGCAGCATTCGCAACCCGCAGTGCCGCATCTGCGCAGGCGCGGGTCGTGATTCAGCACTTCTGCGCATGCGCAAAGCGTGATTTAGCGCTAATGTGCATGTGAAAGCGCAAAACCTGAAAGTAACCAGTTACTCAGCTCCAGCACCTCTCAGGTGGGCACAATTGCCATCCTAAGAGAATAAGGTGAGCTCTGACACCTCTTTTTCTAGAAAAATAGCACCTGCTTGTTAAATAACAAAATAGTATTTTAAAATTCAGAGAATTACCAAACTAGCTCATCCTTATTTTTGATTCTTCAGTGTCATAGTTGTCTAATCCCTATCCTGTTAAAACAATACCTACCAACACAGCACATCCTACCAGAACCACAATACACATCAGGATTTAACTGTCTACCACAGAATCAATAAATTTGTGCAGAAAATCACACTAGAATCTACAGAATTTCCAACAAACATACAGAGGATCAAGCAAGATATAATTAAAAGAAGGGCTTGTAGAGAAGCTAATCCTAATGTACTTAGTAGAACTTGCTTCCAAGTAAACATGATTAACATCAGGCTGCCAAAAAGTGCTACGATATAACTCTTCTTTCTAATGGCAGTTCAAGTCCTCCTACTCAAAACCACATCACTGACACAGAAGACGGAGGTATCAGCCAACTTGAGTCAACCTCAAGGTTTGCAAATGTTGTGGGTTAAACCACAGAGCCTAGGGCTTGCCAATCAAGTTAGGGGTTCGAATCCCCGTGACGGGGTGAGCTCCCATTGCTCGGTCCCTGCTCCTGCCAACCTAGCACTTCGAAAGCACGTTAAAGTGCAAGTAGATAAATAGGTACCGCTCCGGCGGGAAGGTAAACGGTGTTTCCGTGCGCTGCTCTGGTTCGCCAGAAGTGGCTTAGTCATGCTGGCCACATGACCCGAAAGCTGTCTGCGGACAAACGCCGGCTCCCTTGGCCAGTAAAGCGCCGCAACCCCAGAGTCGGCCACGACTGGACCTAATGGTCAGGGGTCCCTTTATCTTTACCTAAAGAACCTTTAGGGGGAACTGTCAAAGAGGCAACACCAAAAAGCAGCCCCCTAAGAACACAATGGCACAGAATGCTGAATGGAAGGAAAAACCCTGAAAATCAGGTGGGAGGGGAAATGGAGTGGCTGGGGGGAAAAGGCAACACATATATGTAAAGAATAGGAGGAGTCCTTCCCACCTGACATTGATTAAAACATCCCCAGGGACAGAAGTGAGTGCTGACAATGGGGGGATCGGGATCGAAGATTTTAATGTATTGAGGACTGGGCACAAGTTTACACACCTCAATCCCCCAAATAGAGAAAACATCCAAGAAGGGCAATGAAAATTAAGCTTGCTGAATGGGCACATATCACAGAATGGTGTGTGTGTGTTGGGTGGGGATTGTTATGTACAATTGGCTTTAGATACCTATTAGGTCCATAAATTACCATATAGCATATATTCAACGCAAAAAAGAATTGTTGTTGACAAAGGACAGCTGGACATATAAAGGGCCCCATTACCTTCCGTAGCTTAGGGCCTCATCAAACCTCAATCCGGCCCTGCGACTAGGGGAGCCTCAGTGGCCCCTTATCCCTTGCTCTGTTTATCCCACCCTTCCTCCACAAAGCAGCATGCAGGCTCCTTTCCTTCCCCGCCCCTTCCCTCCTCTCCCAACAACCCTGTGAGGTAGGCCGGTCTGAGAGGCAGTGGCGGTTTGCTGCAGGCATGTTTGGGACTTTGAACCCGGACGCCCTGGGACCTAGACATGACACCCCACCCAGCGGGACCGACGCCTATGGGGACCCCCACCCCACCCTCCCGTATTGACCGAACGGGGCCCAGTAAGCGAACCCCGCCCCGCGCGCCTCGCTTCCACCTTCAGCTTACTACCTGGCAACCGCAGTCACCATAACGACGCACCCGGAAGCAGCTCCGCCACCTTTGCTCCGCCCGCCCAATCAAAACGCAGCTTCCCTTCAGGCGGAAGGCGGGGACTGGCAAGGGAAAGCGGCCAATAGGAAGCAAGCGCGCGGAGGGACAAGGTCAATAAATTATAATATTCAAAAAAAGAGAACACAAACGGGAAAAGCCAGGGAAGGTCCCCCCGTGTTTAGCTTCCCTCCCGGAAACAGAGGCTCCGCGCATAGAGTTCTGCCTCGAAGACAGGGGAAAGAATCTTCTAAGAGGGAGGTTTTTTGCGGGGGACAGCTGAGCTTGTTAGGCGCAAATTGGCATCACTCCTTAGATGGGGTAGAGCCCCACTGAGTGGTTCTTCATGGCCACCCAATAGCGCTCCGTAGGATCCAGACTTAAATTAGTACAGTATAGTACATAGTGTAATCCTTTTGTGTGTCTGTGTGTGCAGATGCAATTGCTTTTTTTAAAAAAAACACACAACCTAAATCAATAATAAAATTCAAGTAACTGGAGGCAGCCAATATGCCCCCACCGAATTTTATCCTCACAACAACCCTGTGAGGTAGGTTAGGCAGAGAGATTGTGACTGGACCAAGGTCACCCAGCAAATTTCATGGCTGAGTGAGGATTTGAACTGAGCATCTCCCAAGGTCCTAGTCCAGCACTCCAACCACTGCACTCCACTGGCTCTGTGTGTGGGGGTGTGTGTGGTTTGATCAGTTTTCTCTAGGGTTGTTGTGTAGTTGAATGATGATGATGGTTGTATTTTGTGTTTTCATAATATTAATCACGTTTTTATGATTTAATCCGGTCACATTTTGATGCCTCTTGCTATATTCTGACATTTTGTATAATACGATCTTAAACTACATTCCATTCAAAGACCTTACAGTACAGTGGTACCTTGGGTTACAGACGCTTCAGGTTACAGACACTTCAGACTCTGCTAACCCAGAAATAGTACCTGGGGTTAAGAACTTTGCTTCCAGATGAGAACAGAAATTGTGCGGCGGCAGCAGGAGGCCCCATTAGCTAAAGTGGTACCTCAGGTTAAGAACAGTTTCAGGTTAAGAACGGACCTCCAGATCAAATTAAGTTCTTAACTCGAGGTACCACTCTACTTACAGCAGTCTTCTGCGAATGACACAAATGTTGCAGTCCCGAGAGGCAATGGAGGGTGCCTTTGGGGGTGAAGTCAAACTGCTGCATTAGCAGCACTGAAGTGACTTCCCCGGGGTGCAAGCCTGAGCAGTGTGTGGGGGGGGGTCCTGGGCTGCCCAGAAGAGAGGACCCCACTCCCAGCCTCACTGATGTGGTCCAAAGGAAAGCAATTTGTTTGGCACCCACTTGGCTGCAGAAGTTTCCAGAACAAGGCATACAAGGCTCCATCCAATTGTCTTAGGGACTCTGCTCCAGATTTGTGTAGGATTTACTCCTGCAATTTTCTACTAATTGACTAATTAAACAATCCATAAGACCTTTTAAACTGTGGAGTTTTATTGTCTTTGTTACTATAGTTAGGATATTTTTTGTGATTTTATATTGTAAACCACCCTGTGGTCCTCAGATGAAAGGCAGCATAGAAATTAAATTGATAATACTTATTATAATTATATAATTCTTATGTTTGTTTTTAGAGATACTTAATCACGTGGTTTAAAATGCGGCATTCCTATGACGAATGTTAGTAGTAAAGTTTGGTTCCAAATGTGGAATTTGTATTGTATACCTTATATTGATTCCTTTTTGTTTGTAAATGGTAGGGATTTCTGTTGAAATATGCAGTGGGGTGTAAATGAACAAAAATAAATAAAATAAACAAGCCATGTTCCCTGACTTTCCCCCAAATTTTATAAATATCATGACCCTTTGCAACCTTCTAAGGACAGCAACTCAAGCAGGGAGCATTATAGAATCATAGCATTGGAAGGGACCACAATGCAGCAATCTTTTGCCCAATGTGGGGCTCAAACCCACAACCATCAGATTAAGAGTCTCATGCTCTACTGACTGAGCTATCCCAGCTTCTAGGCAGGGAGCATTATAAAAGGTAAGGGGCCCATGACCCAGTGAAAGCTAGCCAATCAGGACAAATGAGGTTGCCCCACTAACCTCAGTCTGCCCTGCCTGCCTTCCTACTTAACAACAGTTCAGTGGGTGGCAGTGCCTGTCAGTTTCCTTTTCCTTAATCTTGGCGAATAAAATGCAGAAGTAGAACCATGTATGCCTCCTTAAACTCCTTGGATGAAACGTCAGATACAAATCTCTTTACACCCTTCATATCACTCCATCCACTCCATTCTCACTTCAATAAAATACTCTGAACATTGGACTAATTATCTGAATCACCAATAATTGCCCACAGAAACATTAAGAGCCCCCCACGCCCGAGCCCTACACAGGAATAAGCAGAATCTTTACTACAGGATTGTATTCCCCATCCTGCAGTTCTGTCAGATCACTGCAAGACCTGATATCCCACCTCTCATGGTCACCAGCGCCACATCTGCTGCTCAGCCTTGCTTAGCATCAAATAACTGTTGTCAGCCCAGCACTGCCACCTGCCTGTCTGTAAAGTTGAAACTGCAGCTCCCCCAGGGCATTCCTCCCACCCCCAGCTGGATGCTCCATATGGCAGCTAGCCTTGTGCTCATAGCTGCCTTGGGACTTGCACTGACTCAGGAGCAAACCTCTAGTTTCAACGATGTTCACAATTAGAACTGGAAACTCTGCTAAAGCAAAGCAAAATATGCAGGGCATAAATCATCCAGTACCTAAAATCCCTCAAGTGGGTTGGCTGCTCTCAAGCAGTACGATGGTGTAGTGGTTAGAGCTGTTGGACTAAGACTGGGTAGACTCAGGATCAAATCCCTGCACAGCCATGATGCTCACTGGGTGACCTTGGACCAATGGCCTAAACCACTGAGCATCTTGGGCTTGCTGATCGGAAGGTCGGCAGTTCAAATCCACGCAACGGAGTGAGTTCCCATTGTTCTGTCTCAGCTTCTGCCAATCTAGCAGTTCGAAAGCATACTAGTGCAAGTAGATAAATAGATACTGCTGCGGCGGGAAGGTAAATGGCGTTTCCGTGTGCTCTGGTACTCGTCACGATGTCCCGTTGAGCCAAAGCAGTTTAGTCATGCTGGCCACATGACCCGGAAAGCTGTCTGTGGACAAACGTCGGCTCTCTTGGCCTGAAGCGAGATGAGCGCCGCAACCCCATAGTCGCCTTTGACTGGACTTAACCGTCCAGGGATCCTTTACCTATCACACAGCCTAAACACTCACTTAAAAATGAAAATAACAAGGCAGCAGAAAGCATACAGTGGTACCTCGGGTTAAGAACTTCATTCCAGAGGTCCGTTCTTAACCTGAAACTGTTCTTAACCTGAAGTACCACTTTAGCTAATGGGGCCTCCCACTGCCGCCATGCCGCTGCTGTTCTCATCCTGAAGCAAAGTTCTTAACCCGAGGTACTATTTCTGGGTTAGCGGAGTCTGTAACCTGAAGCGTCTGTAACCTGAAGCGTCTGTAACCCGAGGCACCACTGTATTTTTTATGCAGCAACCCAATGTCTGAGCAGTAAGAGACACCAGCCCTTGCCCCACCAGGGTTCAGCCACAACTGTGGGAGGTGAAAACTAAACACGGCAAGATCAGCCATGCACTGGGAAACTGCGATTGACTACGCCACGTCGTTGGTTGTGCAGACAGTGAAACAGACACATTCATAAGCATCCCATTGATTATGTCTGTATGGTCGGGCTGCAGTTGTTGTGGCCTCTCCCATTTTCTCCACTGCATCATCATCATCACCTCACGCCATCTGAGCAAACGGAGCTCCTTTGACCGAGCTTGGAGAAGCTCCCCTTCATTTCGTACAACACCGCAGCGTTCCCCAGACAATTGCCGACGGATTTCCTGAGCTGCAGAAAACGCTCAGCCTTGCAGAGCGTTTTCTCAAGGATTCCGCCCTTCCGCAACCTTCCTTTGCAGAGAGTACAGGCATCATCCGGGCGAGGAAGCGCGGCGCGCTTTGCCCATGAGATGGCGCTTTGGATCCGTGGTTCAACTGCAGCTATTTCTTCCCAGCGAGCCTTTAAAAATAAATAGATCTCGCTCTCTCCCCCTCCTGCCTCCCTCCACCATCCCTGTGGGGGGATACTTATTGATGCTGGAGAGAGAGGACAGGTATAATTGGATGCTACGGTGAGCTAGCAAGCCACCCACACTTGCCCCCACCCACCGCACCCGCCAGCCTGCTTTTTAAAGCTCTGGTTTTCAAAGCATGTATCGATGCTGTTTTGCTGCGGTACGGGATTGAATTCTTTCCATGTTTTTCTGTTCCCACAAGGAAACAGCTTCAAAGACGACGGCGAGGGGGAGAAGAACCTTCCCCCCCATCCCCAACCTCTGATGGTGGCAGCAGGCCTTTAAGGGAAGTTTAAAAATGCAGGAAGGCAACCATTGCCTCTTTCTTTGTGAAAGATTAAAGAAATTTAAACTAGCAGCTAGAGGTTTTTTTTGTATCTGCTTTTAAATTCAAGAGAGGAGTGCCTCTTCAAGGTCAATGTGCCTTCCTGTTTTGCAGCCTCCCTCCCCTTTGCAAGACTCTGCATTGATTTTCACGAATGCTTCCAGCAGGTAAAGGCGTTCGAATGGATTGCTGTCAACCATCCACGGATTTCAGGTCTCTTTTCCCTCCGCAAAGAAGGCCATTAAAGTGTTTATTCCTCTCTCCAGGATCATTGTGGCAAGGAAATAAAAGTCTGGGTTTTATTTTATTTTTTAATTTAACTAGCATATTAACACCAAGAAGATTATCCGAGACATAATCAGGCAAACATTGTTATACAAGGATGATGATTCACAAATGATGGAGCATGCACCACTTAAAGCACACGGGGCCCCAAAGCACACCCGTTTCTGCTCAGCAAGGCTGTGATTTCACCAGACACTTAAAGCACATTACTTCCTCCAAAGAACGCTAGGAAATGTCGTTTCTTCAGGGTGCTGGGAATTGTAGTTCTGTGAAGAGTAAACTACAGTTCTGCAGACTGTGTGGGTGCCTGCTTTATATATGTACGTTGCATGTGCAGCCTATCCCTTTACTCTGAAAGCGACTTTCTGTTTGTTTGCGTACTAAAGTGCATTGTACCTTCAGCACAGCCAGGGCTGGCCCTAGCATTACTATGAGCCCCACGACCAACCAGCCTCAGCTGGTTCCCACCTGCCCGCCTGCCTTCTTATTTATTTGTTTCATAAAACCTGTGCGGTTGCAGGGAAAAAGTCAAAGAAGTTTGCAACAAGAATAAAACAGGAAAATTATCGGCAAAACCAGTTTAAAACAACTATTTCAAACCTTTGTTAAAAAAATAAAAACCAGCAATAATCTAAAACCGTAAAGATTTTACATATCTGGGTAGGCTTGTCTAAACAAAAATGTTTTAAGCAGTTGTTGTACAGAGCATAGTGAAGGTGCTTGCCTGGTGTCAATAGGCAGGGAGTTCTAATGTGCAGGTGCTACTGTACTAAAAAATAAAATAATTTATTAAAAATGCAGCACACGTATTATCCAGCACTTGCCACAGTGTCAGTTCAGGAGATTGAAGTGGTTGAATGGGTTTATATGGGGTAAGGCAAACTCGCAGGTAAACTGATTCAGAATTGTTAAGGGCTTTTTGTTGTTTAGTCGATTAGTCAAGTCCGACGCTTCGTGACCCCATGGACCAGAGCACGCCAGGCACTCCTGTCTTCCACTGCCTCCCGCAGTTTGGTCAAGCTCATGTTGGTAACTTCGAGAACACTGTCCAACCATCTCATCCTCTGTCGTCCCCTTCTCCTTGTGCCCTCAATCTTTCCCAGCATCAGGGTCTTTTCCAGGGAGTCTTCTCTTCTCATGAGGTGGCCCAAAGTATTGGAGCCTCAGCTTCAGGATCTGTCCTTCCAGTGAGCACTTAGGGTTGATTTCCTTCAGAATGGATAGGTTTGATCTTTTTGCAGTCCATGGGACTCTCAAGAGTCTCCTCCAGCATCACAATTCAAAAGCATCAATTCTCTGGCGATCAGCCTTCTTTGTGGTCCAGTTCTCACTTCCATACATCACTACTGGGAAAACCATAGCTTTTTTAAAAAAAGATAATCTTTATTAGTTTTACATACTCTATACTTCAATTACATATTATATTTAACTTTACAGTGAGGCCCTATCCCACACCCCTGAAAGGGTCCCGATTTGAGCAGGGCACCCCACACAGACCGTTATAGTGTTTGTGTGTTGTGTATTGAGTGGCAGATAAAACAGCAATGAAATCACAGCACACCTGACCATAGCAAAGCTACCACAACAGCTTTAAAGAATGGTGGGGAACCTGTGGTCCTCTCGAAGGTGCTGGACTACAATTCCCATCACCCCTCACCACTGGCCATGGTTGGGATTGATGGAGTCCACTAATATCTGGAGGGCTCCTCATTCTAAGCGCACACCCCCCCCATTTATTTTAAAGCGGCCATAAAGTAAGTTATGCAAAATCAAGTCCATCTAATATGATATAGAAATACATAGCAATGTAGATATATAAAAATATACAGAATCAACTAAGTGCTTTATAAAGCATCAAAAATAACGCACAGAAGTGCCTGCAGATTTTGAAGGCGTTCAGCAGCATTTGCTATCTGGATAAACAAAGCAGAAAGGAAGCCAATGGAAATGGATACATGCTAACAATGGGTTTTTAAAAATAAAATAAAAAAGACCTGATAGGGACATCAATTCAGAAATTGGCACCACGTAATCAGGGGGATTGTCCTTGGTACACAGGGACAGTTGGAGTGTTTGAGAGATTGAATTGAATTTACTTTCTGAATTAAAACACACAGAGAGAGAGAGAGAGACCTGGATGTCTGGAGATTCCTCTTGAGCCCGGCATGAATTGCTGTTGTCCCCAAAGGACTGTGGAACCATGTGCTCAATTGCAGGCAGTGAAATCAAACCATGCATTAGCAAGTCCTTAATGGGTTTGCTCAGTGAAACCCAGCTCCCTTCATTAATCAGGAAAATCCTGAAAGCTAATGATTTAAATGCTGGGAATTAAGACTTACTGATTACTGGAGCTGGGAGGGGGGGTGGTTGTTTGCCTCCCTGTGGAGATGGGGAGGGGGAAATAATTTTTGTGCAGGTGTGCAACATGATAGCCTGAGACTGCTCAGTGCAGGGACCCCTGATCCTCAGGTCGCTGTTTTAACCACATGTTTTGTATGCTCTCTTCTCTGTGTGGCTTAAAAAAAAAAGGAAGGGGGGAACCCTGATATTTACTCACATATTAGCATTTCACAGGTCTTTGACACATTTCCACAGGTAGTTTCAGAGCTGCACTTAGGTAATTTGAGACCCTGAACATTTCTCCGATGAAATAGGATCCCATCCATAATTATAATTTTACTATTTATACCCCACACATCTTACTGGGTTGCCCCAGCACTCTGGGCAGCTTCCAACATATATAAAAACATAATAAAACATTAAACATTTAAAAAACTTCCCTATACAGGATTGTCTTCAGACCATTTTGGGGTTGAATAACTCCATACCCTCCAACATTTCCCCAATGAAAATAGGGACATCCTAAGGAAAAGTGGGACATTCCAGGATCAAATCAGAAACCAGGATGGCTTCTCTAAATTAGGGATGTCCCTGGAAAATAGGGACGCTTAGAGGGTCTGGTCCTGTGCTTCTTTCAATGGTAATGGGTATCTTCTTTCAAACTTTTTTCAAAATGTGGGAAGCAGGTGCTGCTGTGATTGGTAGCCTTATTGCTTGCTCCAGTGAATGGGGCCTGCTTTCTTGCCACCAAATCCTGTTCTGACTACAGCACTGGGAAATTCCAGGCTGCGTTAATGCTCCGTGGCCTCAGATACACACCACACATTTAAAGTCCATTCAGTTGTGTGAGAGGGAAGCTACAGTTCCCAGGATTCTTTTGGAGGAGTCATGTGCTTTAAATTGTTGTTGCTGTTGTTGTTATGGAATAGGACATCCCTATTTTCATTGGAGAAATGTTGGTGGGTATGGATGCTGCCATCGTCTCTCTCAGAAGCCCTTCTCTGTGTGCCCCACCCAAGGGTGGCTACACAAAAATAGGCCTTTCCTGTGATACTCTCCTCAGGGAAATGCGGCCGGCACCATCATTTTAAGTTTTCAAGCGCCAGGCTAAGAGTTTACATTTTCTCTGGCCTTAATTATGTGGGCCCCTATGATGGTGCTCATTTCTTTAACAGTGCTGCAAAGACTTTCCCTTTTTAATATGTTATTGCATGAGCAGTTTGTGTTTTTTTGCATTTATTGTTTTAACTTCTCTGGTTTAAATCGTTTCACCTGTGGTATTTTATCTTGTCGAGCAGCTTGGAGACTTTTCCTTTTGCATAAAGTGATTAATTAACACAATTAAATAATCACAATATACTATTTTTACTGCGCTGTGGGACAGGGTTTGGAACGTCCTCCTCAGGTGACGAAGTGTTTTGGATCAGATAGGCTGCCATCAGTATTGAGTTAAGAAGATCTAGCTCTGTAGCCAGAATCTGGTGTCTTGCATCGTTTGATGCTGTGTTCGATTCATGGGATAAAAGGTGGAGTGTTAATCACAAGACCTGCTCCCTGCCTCCAGTGTTAGACAAATCATGAAGGCTTACAAAGAAGCCTCCAGAGCCGTTTATTCCTTTGACTAAAGAGTTAACTTCACAAACGTTGCATGAGCTTTTACTGACCTGCTTCCTCACAGAGAGGTTTTTTCGTAGCCAAACAGCACTTTGAACAAGCTGCATTTGCAGGGAAGAATTAGCTGGTGGTTGATGCTGTCATTCCCACCCCACAACATCCTTGCACAGGCCGTTTCCCCCCTGTAGCACCATCAGGACAGGCTTTTGGGGAACTCGTTTCCAGGGCTCTACTCAGCAGAAGGAACACAAGGTCCCCCAAACGCAGCGAGGCCACGTTACCATCTAAAGAGCTCTTCCCTCAAGTAAAAGCGCTGAGTCCAGAGTCTAAGATTAAGTGTGCCTCTGCCTCTCTCTACTCCAGCCAGCCTTACACCTGATTTGGGAGCCTAGCAGGAGTGTTCAGAAGGAACAGTCACCTGTAGAAGTGGTGCAAGAGGGAGGCAGAATTAATAAAAACCGCTTCCGTCTGCCTTGTTGTCTCTTAAAGCACAGCTAATTTTTCAGTAGTTTCAAGATTTCTTCAGTAGGTTTCCCAAGGCCTAATGGTGTTGATTTGCTGCCTCCCCATATTCCCTCCGCCACCCCAACATTAGGCCTGCCTCAGCAAGGTAGAATTTTTTTCTGAGCCCAGGTGTAACTTCAACAAGCACAAACCTGCAGACTCCAAAATAAACAGGAAGAAGGCTGCAATGTGACAACTGTGTGACAAAAACATGCCACTGTTTCCCCCTTGTTTTTTGTTTTGACGGCTGTTCAGCAGTATTACGCTTGCCTTGATTGTACGGGTTCGAATGACAGGCAGGTATTTGCAGAGACACACCTCGGTGTATGGAAAGATTGTGGGTGAGGACCTGGAACAATTCTGAAAGTAGAAGTCGCATGGACCTCTGCAGCACTCACAAGAAATACTGTACTTTGAAGGTGCAAGCTTATACTTGCCTGCTCAGAAATACATCCTGGTGAGACGTACTTCCCAGAGACGTGTATTAAGTTTACAACCTCAGCCACAACAAATATGGAACCGGGCAGCTATTGCCAAGCAAAATAGGGAGTGGCTCTACCCTGGCTGGTACTCTTCTACCCTGTAAAAAAAAAAAAATTGAGCACACTTGCTCTTTACTAAATGCATGGTGGCAATCTATTCAGTTCATTGCAATCATTCTGTATTTTCCAGGAATGGTTGCTGCTGACATTTTTTTAGCTTGCTCACCTGCATTCAATAGCCAGCTGCTATACAGGTATGTAGCAGGTGAGGTGAGGGACTTGATTGGTGATCTCAGCGTACCCAAGGACAGCTGAAACAGATTGTTTATATTTATTTAAAGAATGTACAAACCATGCTTCATCAAAACATTGTGGTAGTGTACAATGAGGAAATACCGTAAATAAAATCCAAAGCATAAAAACACTGTTGCACACCACCCTAATCTCTGAGCAGTGCAAGATTCCGGGGGTTCCAGGCGCTTACCCCGGGTTCGTGTTTCCTTTTGGCAATGAAGCACAGAGAAGACTGTGGTGTCTTTATACTATATGGTTTATTTACACGCACAGACAACCTGAGTCTGTGATGGAAGGTTTCATAGCATCAACACCCCAAAGGTTCCTGTTTCTGCCATAGCTGCAGCTTTGGATTCAAACAGAAATCAAATATTGTTCTTTGACCCTCTCTCAAACTTTCTGCTTTACTTCTAGGTCGCATCACTGCTACCTCTGCAATCTCTAGCTTTATCTCCACCTATTTGCTGTCTCCCAAAGAGCCCCTTAATGGTTCATCACCCAGGCTATCACCTCACCAGGAAACTAGCTTGGCTTGATTAGATTTTAGCACTTGTTGGATCCAGGGATTAGAAGGGTCTGGCGCTCGCAAACTCGTAACAATACAACAAATCCATCCGTACAGCCAACAGGAACAATGTACAACAATGCTACTCTGAAAAAGTCTGGTTGATTAGAAATAATTAAATTAAAAATTGAATTGTTGGTGCTATCCTAAATTCCAGAGCGAGCCTGTCCCAAAGTAGTTTAAGGTTTGCTGGGAACTGTAACTCTGTGAAGGGTAAACTACAGAGCCCAGAATCCTGAGTGCTCTGGAAGTGTTTTAAAAGTATTGCTTGTACTCAGCTTCTCATCCTAGCCCACCTCTCAGTGTTATGAAAATGTTGTTGTTTAGTCATTTAGTCATGTCCGACTCTTTGTGACCCCATGGACCAGAGCACGCCAGGCACTTCTGTCTTTCACTGCCTCCCACAGTTGGGTCAAACTCATGCTGGTAGCTTCGAGAACACTGTCCAACCATCTCGTCCTCTGTCATCTCGTCTCCTTGTGCCCTCCATCTTTCCCAACATCAGGGTCTTTTCCAGGGAGTCTTCTCTTCTCATGAGGTGGCCAAAGTATTGGAGCCTCAGCTTCACGATCTGTCCTTCCAGTGAGCACTCAGGGCTGATTTCCTTAAGAATGGAGAGGTTTGATCTTCCTGCAGTCCATGGCACTCTCAAGAGTCTCCTCCAGCACCATAATTCAAAAGCATCAATTCTTTGGCGATCAGCCTTCTTTATGGTCCAGCTTTCACTTCCATACATCACTACTGGGAAAACCATAGCTTTTACTATACGGACCTTTGTTGGCAAGGTGATGTCTCTATTTTATTTTATGAAAATAAAACAGCCCTATTTACGCCACCTGTGGCATATGCCATTATTGGAGGGTAGCTGGCATACTAATAAGTTGTACATGAAATGTGTGGAGGTGCCAAAGCACATCATTTTGTATGCTGAACGTCCAAGGAAAAATATGATCTCCAGTTAAGGCAGGGGTGGGATCCTCAGCCCCTACCAACGTACCTCTTTCCAGACCTTGGGACTTTCCGCAAGCCACATCCTTCACTGGCCCTGCTCTTCACGCTCCTTGAGGATTTTTGCAAGGCTGAAAGATGTCCTTGAATTGTGCCAGGATGAAGAGATATGGTGTGCTTATCGATCGGAAGTTTGGAACTGCTGACTTTTGTAGGGCTGGCATCTAGTCTACTACACAAATTTTAGAGTCATGTATGTCACCAGTGGCGTAGCGTGGGGGGTGCAGGGGGGCCGGCCGCACCGGGCGCAACATCTGGGGTTAGGGCAAATCCACAAGTTAGGGGGCACAAATCCACGGCTTAGGGGGCGCAAATCCACGGCTTAGGGGGCACAAATTACTTGCCTTGCCCCGGGTGCTGACAACCCACGCTACGCCACTGTATGTCACTCCACTCACTTTTGCTTCTTAACCCACCACTGGAATGTGGCCCTCAAATGGGAAAATGTTCACCACCCGGGCATTTAAAGGACCCCCCCCAGTGGCAGGCTAGGGGGGAAAACCCACTCCCCCTTTACCTGAGATTCTAGACAGCCACGTCTAGCCAGGGGAGACAAGAGGGCTAGATGGATCAAAGGTCTGGTTCAGCAAAAGTGAGCTTTGTATGTTTATATCACAGGGCTTTGAAACACAAGCGACATCTTATTAATCACACCCCTAAACCCTCAATCCACTCGAGGCCCCAGGCACTAACTTTGTGCTAGTCCATGAAGGCATGCCATCATAAAATTGTGTTAAAAGTTTTTGCCTAAAATACTCTTTGCTGTTTGCTGCAATGCACTAAACACTCCTACCCCTGCGGAACAAGAACCTTGCTGCCTTCCTTATTAACTCCGAATGCACTCCTGTATTTTATAGGCAAACACACACATATACACACAGTATATAGAAACTATTATATGGGGGGCATGGTTCAGGAGGGCGGAGAAACGGCTCTTCCCGCTACTGTATACGTTCACACCACCCGAAGAAAATCCTTTAGATTTTACAAATGCAAGGCACAGCGGCGACGGCAGGGAGGGAAGCCTCTACTCTTCCATTGCTCGTGTGAAGGAAGAGTTGCCCAGGAGAACGCAAAAACAGCACGTGGAGAACCACAGGGGAGGCGGCGGCAAGGTCAGCTGGGTGGAGGAAACGCAATTGCCCAGCAGGGCTTGCTCCGGTGGGGCAGCGGCTGCACTGGTGTGTCGGCAAGCAGGGCTGAGGTTTGAATCTGCAGAACCGGAGCCGGGCAAGAAGAAAACGGGGCATTTGACAAGGGCTAATTAAGCATCATCCTGATCATCCAGCTCAGCTCCTCCCTCCTTGCAAGGAATCACTGGGGTAACAGAGAAGCTGCAAAGTTAAGCGGATATGACAGCAGCGGCGCTCTGTGTCCCCCCCCCCAATCCCGCACATCCTGCTTGCTGCCTGGGGGAAGGCGGCCCCTTTGCCCTGACATCGCTTCCGCAGCCAATCCGCAACCCGGTGACGTGAGAGCGGCGGGCGACCCCTCCAATCCACAACCCCGCACCGCAGCATGTGCTCCTTTCCCCCCTTGCCCTCCCCCCTCCTTTTCGGTTTCCCAACTTCCTTTGTCAATCAACGGGGCCCGAGGGTGGGACGGGCCCAGGCGAACCCGCCTTTTCTTTCCCTCGCCTCCTCCCGCTGTAAGGGAAGGCGGCGGCGGCCAATGGGAAGCGGGAGAGGGGAGGGACATAAGCCGACGGCTACCAATAGGGCCGCACCCGCCGGGCCTCCTTGCGGTTCATGGGCGAAGTGCTGTTCTCTCTCTCTCCCTCTCTCTCGTTTTTCTCTCTCTCCCTCTCTCCCCCCCCCACCGCACCCCCGCTCCTTTCCCAGTTGGTTTGTCCCGCTACGGGCCTGGCGGGGCTTCGATTGAGTTCGCTCCGTCTTTTGAGGAGAGGACCATTACACATCGCAGAAAAGGGGTGGGGGGCGAGAAAGGGAATGAGATGAGAGAGAGAGATTTAAAGAGACACGAACCCCGGCGAGCTCGCGAGGCTGACTGACTTGAGGGGGAACCGGAGGCGAAGAACACACCCCTCCGAGCCGGCCGCCCAGCAGCGGCACCCGCGCCCCGCGCTGCCGCCGCCGCCAGGGCTTCCCCCTCTCTCTCTCTCCCCCTCGTCCCCGCTCCTCCTTCTCCCGTGAGGCCTCCATGAGGTAGCGCGCGGCGGCGGCGGCGGCGGCGGGCAGCGAAGATTCTCCTCAGCCCGCCTCTCTCTCTTTGCCCTCATCTTTGTGGCGCTCTGCCTCCTCAGTGGCGTCGTCGGCGTCGGCGCTTTGTTCGGAGCAGCCGGGGGCGGGGCGGGGTTGAGGCGAAAGCGGCGGCGAGGAGGCGGCGGCGGCGAAGGAGAAGAAGAGGCGCAGGAGGAGAGTGAAGAGGGAGGAAGAAGAGGAGGAATCCGAGGAGGAGGAAGAAGAGGAGCCGCTCCCCTCCCCCCTCCGCCTCACGCCGCCCGCTCCCCTCCCCCTCCGCGCACCGCCACCACTGCAGTCGGCGGGGGCGGCGGAGGCCGCGCAGCAGCCCTGAGGGGGGTGGCGGCCCGCAGTCGCCCCCCTCAGCGACGAAGGAGCCAGCCAGCGGCGGACTGAGGAGACCCCTCCTTCCCCTCCCTGTCGTCCCCACCACCCCGACAATATCCCTCCCTCCCGTCCCGGCTCCCCTTCCCGGTCTTCGCTCCCACCCAGCTCCGATTTGGGATTCCCCCGCCTCAACCTCCCCCCCCTTCGTCTGCTTCTGCTGCTTCTTCCTGCTCCTCCCGCAGCCTAGCAGAAGCCGTGCCGGCGGGGCGGGCGGATTGATGTGGGGGGGTCTGACATGAGTCCGCCGGCCGCCGGGTGCTGCCATGTGACCGGCTTCAAGGTGGAGAACTGGAAGCAGAACCTGAGGGTGATCTACCAGTGCTTCGTGTGGAGCGGGTCGGCCGAGACCAGGAAGCGAAAGGTAAGGGGGAATAAGCGGGTTTGGGGTAGGGGTGTGTGGGTGGAAAGAGCGACAGGCGCGCAAATGGCCATGCGAACCCCCAGCAGCAAAAGCGGGGCAGGCTCGGGACGGCGCGGTCCAGGCAGATTCTCCCTTTAATTCTCGGTTGCTGCGATCCCCCGCTGGGGGGCAGGATTCCTCCTTCTAACCCCCCCTCCCCATTTCCAAAATATGCCTTTAGCTCTTCCCCCACGGGATCAGTCCCGCATCGCTTGTCAAAAATTTCTGCTCTGCCTGCCCTGCCCCCTAAACCCGCTTTTATTCGGCCGTGGGGAGAGCAGGAGAAGGAATGCTGATGGGGCTCCCTGTCGCCAGACGTCGAGGCTTTGAAATATGGGGGTGGCCGAAGCAGCCGCCGCCTCCTTTCCTGTTGCGGGTGTCGGAGGGCGTGAGGGTTTCCCGGAATCGGACAACTGCAGAGCACGCCTGGGAAGGGGAGGGATAGAGCAGGAGGGAGGGAGAAGCGAGAGCTGCCCAGACAGGGCAAAATAGCATGTCCGGCCTGCTTTTGTGCACTTGTGGGCTCCCCCACCCCTTGTGTGTGTGTGTGTGTGTGCGGATAGGGGAGGCATTGCTGAAGCATTTTCTTCAGACTGCCTCTCTCGATCGTGGGCTGTGTTTGACACGGAAATAGCTGCCTTTTTAAAAAGTTAAGTGGAGGAACACCGAAAAAGGGGGAAGTGGCTTTCTGTAATCCTTGCCCCCAGCGGGTGGCTCTATCGAGCTGAGTTACTTATGAAGGATGGTTTGGAGGGGGTAGGAAAGGTGTAGGCTGCAGAAGGGAAGAGGAAGGGGTGGGGGAGTGGGATGGGCGTGGAGAGGTCGCCCTGTGGTTTGACCAAGTTATTGGGGTAGAAGCTGTGACTGGACTTGGAGTTCCTAGGCAGGCAGAGGAAGCAAGTCCTGTTTCCAAGGACACAATAGGTGGAAATGATTCTGCACACCATTGATGCATGTGGATTTTTTTTTATAAAAAAAATCAAAATCTTATGGGACAGCATCTGAGTGTGTTAGGGGGACCAAAGGTATATGTGAGGGGAAATGGAATTTATACACAGAGATGGGAAGTGCTTCGGTCACATTTAATTTCACTGCATAGTTAGTCTAGAGGGAATTCAAAGTAAATATACACTATGAAGAAAAACTATCTCTGTTGCTTTCCTGATAATTCAGTTCTGTAAACATTTCTCTCTTACCTATGTTCCCCCTTCCATCTTTCCCTCTCCACTAGTCTCCAACAGCCTTCTGAGTGGGTCTTACTCATAGTACCTCATGTAGAGGTTGATGAAATCAGGTTTTGCAAACTGAGAAACAACACAATTAGTAAACCAATGGTACAAAACATATACAACTGGAAAAATACGTTTTTATAAATTCTAGATGTCAAGTCAGTGCCAAACATCTATGTGTCAGGAATGAGCAAATTTCAGATTCTGATGTGCTTGGGTTAATTTTTGTTATGTCAACTGAATATAGTGATTTATGCCAGTGGCTTACATGAGAATGACATATGTTAGATTTGTGTAGTGTTATATGGAGGACTATTTGAGGGGATATATGGGAAGGTTAGGTGGTTACTGTTTCTGATTTGGTGTCAGTGAGGCAGGCATTTCTCTTGGTTTGATGATGCAAGGAGTATCAGTGTACCTGCTTTTTCATGAAAAGAACAGCTACTACAAGTGTGTGTTTCATACCTAATGATTACTTAGCTGTTTGTAGATTTTGCATTTTGGGAGTTTGTTGTTTTTATGCACAATTAGGCCCTAAAACCTGCCTGCAAATTACCAAGACTTGGTCTACATATGCAGCAGAATGGGATGATAGAGTAGACTGGACCACTTCAGACTGCAGGTTTTTGTGGGGAGGGGGTAGTTTTGCATGCCCCCCCCACCCTTTCCTGAAGATAGAAAGCTAGCATCACAGGGGGAAATATATTAGCCCACACCACTTTTTGCTAGTTCTTTTATATAGGAAAAATTCATAATTCATATAGGTAAAATTCATAGATATGAATATTTGCTTGCCTTTCAAAGGGCTACAGTTCTTCTACCAGTTTTTCTACCTCTCATTGTGCTGCAGATTCAGATAATTGCATTTAGGATTCGGCCAGGCAATGCTTTGTACCTTTTGGGATGGTTCAAAAGAATGAGTTTCTAAATCTTACTACCTTTCTTTTCACTAATAATTTTTGAAGTACTTTGACACTGTTGAGGGAAGTAATACAATAATGGTTCTTACTATAATGTTGGAGGCAGAGAACAATGTTAATGGCGGTTTTAGAGATCTTGCACAATATTTAATTTGAGCTTTTTCTTTTTAAAACTGCCATAATTTAATAGTTTTCTTCATTTGTAAGCTTAGGCACTAAAGCCAAACTTTTGGAATTTCAGGGAAGGTTGCCTTTTGTTGATTACACCCATAATTTCATCATGTGGGGTGGAGGGATAAAATACGTATGCATTTGATGAAGAGGAAGCATTTTCTGCTCAAGTAGCCTGATAGCTAACCTGTTCTCTAGAAGGATGCTGCAGTGTTTGAGTCAGTAGATGTTTATTTTGGAGGCCATTCTTCGTAGGAGAGACTTCTACTGCTTTGTTCTACTTGGTATGCAAAAATGGAAAGGAAAAATAGTGTAAATGGGTGCTGAGATGGTTGAAGTCAGGCACTGAAGATTCAGTGATGGGAAAGGAAACATACAATTGCCAACATCTGTCTCCAGCAGTATTGATGGTATAAGATTCAGTAATTAAAAACAGTCCTTCTCAAAGGAACACAGCCTTGTAAAATTACATTTTACTCTATGGACTATCCAATAAATAACTGAAAGATTGTATCATTTGATTTTTTGATATCTGCTTCCCTGTTTTATTTCTTTCTAGGCTTTGCATCTTAAAAATCCAGATATCAATATAAACTGCAGGGGGCAGAAAGTGTCAATTTTTGCTTCCCTACTCGACTGCCAACATTGCTTATTGCCTTGGATTTTGAAAGGCTGTTTCTGTACTATGTTGCTACTTTTACTTTCCATTATTCTCCCCTGCTGCCACCAGTTAATGCAGCTTTGGTCTTAAATTCTTAACTCATGTTTTTATTACAGAGAAAGAAGGCTGTTTTCCGCATTAAGTTTTGTGCTACTGCAAGTTACTATGTCATAAAAACTGCAACGTATAGAATTTTTAACAATCTTCTTTGCAAAACAAGAGTTGAGTGCAGGCAACACTCAACTTATGCAGGGGTTACGTTCCAAGGATATTGTATAAAGCCAAAATCGTCAAAACACATTAGGTGCTATAGTGGGTGGGATTTATATAGTATTTTGTGTGTGACATCCATCCCCTTTTTAATTTTTAAAAATTATTTTTGCCAAGCGTGTGAAACTGAATGTGCACAAGTTAAATGCATGTAAATTGAGAGTTGTTCGTAGCTTGAGAATCTGGAAACTGCTCAGATCTCAATCAAGACAGTTTTATTTCATATGTGTTTTGGGCCAGTAATATTTAATTAGAAATTAACAAGAATTGCTAAGTGGACATTTGGTGTATCTAACATAGTAAGATTGGTATGATTTTACAAGTTTTAGAAGTGAAAGGATTGCCTAACTAAAAGCACATAACAGCTACTGTAATTCAGTGGCCTGAATGTTAGATGAACTATGATTATCATTAGAAAATCTGCAAGGCTTGTTTAGAAGCTAGGCCTGTTTCTTTTAACAACCCTTTCCTCAGACCTGTTGTGGCACTGCATCACCTTGGCTCTATGCAGAATTTAGATTTTTATTGACATTAGTATTGCACAGTTTAACTGTATATTATAAATATAATTTTGGATTAGTTATGGATATATCCTTATGAGACAAGAGTAGTAGTTCTGTTGCAGAGGTTGTGGAGGGGACTTGCATAAGCCAGAATAAATCATGGCTGTATTTAGTATAGGGAAATGTGCATAGCTAAACTGCACTACAAAATGACATGAATATCAGCAGCTTTGTATATGTAGGCTATGATTTTGACTTTACAACAGCAAAACAAAGTGTTATATTAAATTATGCCAAACCTGAAATGGTTTTAAATGAAACTAATTGGTATGTGTACTGTTGTGTACATGGTTTATTTTGTAATTACTTAAAAATGACAAAAACTGGTTGAGTGCAGACCACAATTCTGAATGATTCTAAAGCGTTCATTTAAAATGGAAATAAGCCTTCTACTTTCAACAGAATTTGATTCTGCAGAAGCTATTGTAACAATGGCTGTGTTATTTTACCTACACCTGTCCAATAACACTCCTTTGCCACCATTGCTACTTCTTCATTCTGTACATGATACACATGCATATACTTCCTTCTTCTCTCACAATGCTCCACCTTCTTGCCTAGCTTCCAGCTATTTCCATGTTGCCTTTCTTTCTCTTTACTAGACAAGTGATTTTCACAGTAGCTGTATAGTCATGCTTAGCTGGTTGGTGGTGTGATGGTATTCTGTGCTTTTTAGGACTTCATTTCCTTTTCCTCACTGGAGTGCAAGAGGTGGGCCCACTTCCTCTCATGTGCTTCCATCTTGAAATGTGTGAGGCAGCTGTATTATACATGCTTTCTTGTTAGATCACACACACACACACACACACACACACACACACAGAGAGAGAGAGAGAGAGCGCAAGAGAGAGAGAGAAACATATACAGGCAACTCCACATTTGCACATGTTTGGCACTTGTGCGACTACTGACATGTGTGCCATTTTTCACACCAGAAGGGGGTGGGATGGGCTTATATATGTCCCATGGATGTGCTTGGTGCCTCGGAACGCAAGCCCTGCATAAAAGGGGAGTTGCCTGTATATAATTCTTGTTTTATTATTGAATTTGGCTAGGCTTTACAGTTCACAATAAGGCTAAAAATCTGACTAGCTGAAGTCAAGAACAGGAAACTAACAGGTTCAGTTTTGTTGTAAGTGCAGTAGGA